ACTCTGTATATACAACGGAAAATATTTTATAATAAATATTATTATTAATATTAGTAACTGAATTATATTATATAGTAATAAACTTTATTTATAGAATACGTCATGGCTAGGTTAGGTTAGGTTATAATAATTTACATACAAAAAGTAATGATATCCCACCAAAAACATATATGTAAAATGAGAGCCAAGTTCAATACTATAATATATGCCTTGGTTGTTGACTTCAACGACAAAAGAAGTGAGATCTAAATGGGTGCCAAGTTAGGATAATATATTGAAGCCTAAGGTCTGACTTGGCTACGAATTATATATTATAGCATTTGCAAGTTCTAAAGCTTTGAGTTCTTATTTTATTCTTCGGAAAATCATCTTCACTCTTCCATTACTGTTTTAGTAGGTACTTATAATAATAATTCGTATATGAAAAGTAGCCAAGTCACACCTTAGGCTTCAATATATTATCCTAACTTGGCACTCATTTAGATCTCACTTCTTTTGTCGTTGAAGTCAACAACCAAGGCATATATTATAGTATTGAACTTGGCTCTCATTTTACATATATGTTTTTGGTGGGATAGGTTATACATAGATTACTTTATTCACCCTTAGTATCATCAAATATACTTCGTAATATCATAGGCTGACTAACCGTTTTCGCTCAGAATCGTTTTTCTTATACAATGATATATCATTGAATTCAAATTTAATACCATCCATTATACAATGACCCACTTGTAACCTACTGTACAGCAGAGCACCTGTTTTCAGATATTATAGCTTGTTGATGCCTTGTTTTTGGGACAGTGGGCTTGGAAGATAGTTAATTTATAACTTTCAACTTTGAAAATTTAATTTTAATCATATTAACTCGTTTAAAATGTGATACATTTATTTGACGTCGCAATATAAGTAGTTTTAGGTAGTAAATATTACAACAATTGAATGTATAAAAATATATAAATGTTGAATTTTTTTTTTTGCTCATTTACTTGACTTTTTTATCTATTATATAAAAATAAGTCCGGTTTTCCTCCCTGACGCTATAACTCGAGAACGCACGAACCGATTTCCACGGTTTTGCATTCGTTGGAAAGGTCTTGGGCTCCGTGAGGTTTATAGCAAAGAAAATTCTGGAAAATTCAGGAAAAATTCAACAGAAAAGTGGGGAAATCGTTTTTCACATACAGCGCCATCTATTATACATAGCATGTACTTCAAACCAATAGCAACGGATGCACCAATACCAAAAATGAATGTATGTCAGTGTGTGTGTGTGTGTGTGTGTCCATATTACCATGGCAACCATATCTGTATATAAAAAACAGTAAGCTGATTGACTGCTATCAACGCACAGCTCAAACCATTGGACGGATCTGGCTGAAATTTGGCATACAGATAGCAATTATAATATAGACGTGCGCTAAGAAAGGATTTGCCAAAATTCGCATTTTAAATAGGTGCTGAAACAGGGACATTGAGATTCACGATAGAAATTGGAAATTTTATTTTTATTTATTTATAGTTGCCATTGGTTACAGTCTACATTAGAAATTAGCATTTATTTATTGGTTGCCATTGGTTATTCGGGCAGATCAGGTACAAGCTTGCATCAAATTATTGAACAATGCTCACCAGGGTGGCAGAGTTGCACTTACCGCAGAAAATTACACCCAAAAGGAGTTCAACAATCATAATTTTTTTAAGAGTTGCGATTTTTTACGAGCAACTAAATTTATTATATTAATCCACAGTATTACATCAAAATAAACTTGGTATAACTTTGATACTTTAGAGTTAAATCATACACTTCCGTACAAACAGCACGGGGTCCGCGATCTACCGCAGGTAGATTGCCTACCTGATAATGTACTGCTGCGATTCAGAATTTTTATTCAGGGCAACGGGAAAGATAAGATAAATTTTGAACACCATACACGTTAATGAATTGAACAAAGTTTGAGTAGGTAGTATTGAGTTGATCCATTTAACGGGCGACGAAAAATATAGATTGCCTACCTGATAATATACTGCTGCAAATAAGAATTTTTATTCCGGGCAACTAAAAGTTAAGATACATTTTGAACACCATACACCGAATATTATAAATAACGAATTGAACACAGTTTGAGGCATATATGTAGAGTTGGTACATTGAACGGGCAACGAAGTGCACGGGATCAGCTAGTTGTATATAGAAAAGTGAGGCTTGTCCAACTGTGGCGAAGGCGCGGGGCCCTGCTCGTCCTGCCCTAGGGACGGCCCTATAAGCAGTGTTCGAACTTATCTAGATGAATATCTAAATAATTATTTGTTCATCTTTTATCTTATCTAGATAAATAGTTACAAGGTATCTAAACGTTTATCTTAGATAGTTTTTTTACTAATCTAAATAACTTCATCTAGATACATTTTTTATTGATAAAAATCTCGAAATTGTGCAAACAGTAGATTTACATAACTGTAGATAAACAAATATTTTTTTAATAGCACTATCCAATAATTTTTTATAAGTAAATGAAAAAAAAAAAACAAAATGTTTAGAAGCAAATAACTTAAAATATGCGCATGCTGTTGCATAGATAATTTTCCACCCTATATGTTCAGAAATTTTGGAACCACTACTACAAACACAGAAAGATAATAGTGGTCCCGCACAAAACAGTTTTTGCTATGTTGTACATTGACGGAGACAACACATGCGGGTGACATCCTCTTAAATAAAAAAATCTATATTTAATAAAAAATCTAAATATAATAAAAAATCTAAATTTGATACAAAAATATCTATCAAGATTTGTATGATTTTTTTTTAATTTATCAAGATTTTTTTGTTGAATTGATTAAACTTTTTGATGAAATATAAATATGTTAAATATAGATTTTTATCAAATAAAGATTTTTTAATTTTTTATCTTTTAAAGGTAAGATTATTATCTAGCTAAATGACATAGGCTTTTTATTATATTTTAATTTTGATGAAAGTTATGTGTATTTTAAAATTGTAAACTGTTTGTACATCTTAAAACACTCATAAATAGCTTTAAAATTAAAATATAATAAAAAGCCTAGATGATTATCTAGATATAATCTTACCTTTAAATTGTATAAGAGGTCCATTTTTAAGCTAACGGAGATAAACGTGTTCTGCTGAACGTAAAATTTGCTATGTTACGCACTTGTAAGACGGAGACAACAAATGCCACTAGTCACGGGACACTAATTGGGATGAGCATGCTTGGTGAATCACCTTGTATAATATATTAATATTCGACGATCTCCTTCGAGTAATCGCGTAGTCCCTCTGGACTACATCATCATTCCCCACCACTCAAGCGTCTTACACAATACTGCACTAGTGCACTGTACCCTGTTACATACTTACAAAGTTACAAGTTACATTATATTCGTAACTATATGTCTATATATATAAATGTCTATAAACTATAATAGTTTACTGTTACTGCATACTGTATACTACATACATTATACACATAATATTGTTATATAGTTATGAGTTAGTCAGAGTTACCTACTTGCCTGTATAATGTTATGAATTATAATAACAATAAAATTAACAAGTTAAGGGGCAACAATTAGGCAATTTCTAATTTTCTCATAGCCACCCAGGATGTATGTGGTAGCTGTAAATGATTATTAGCGTGAGTGAAATGAAATGCGGGTATCCTCTCTCGTACGCGCATGCACATGTTAATAACTCGATAACCATTTAAAATTTCACTACTCGAATTTTACAAAAACACACATTGACAAAAGTATTGACAAAATTAAAGTTAGTCAACGTTGTCTGATTTTGATTCTGGAAAAATATTTGAATTCAGCAGAAAAATGTCTGTAGATCGTACTAAACATTTTCCGTTTTTAATATTAATTTTATAATTTTAATTATGATTGGAAAAAGTTCATATTTTCAAGTTTTCAATTACAGCTCAAAATAATATAAAATTTAGTTTTTACAAAGTGCTTGATAGGATCTATGGACAATTTTCTGGTGAGTTCAATTTTTTTTTCAGAATCAAAATCGGACAACGTTAACTAACTTTAATTTTGTCAATACTTTAGGGTCTTTCAGCTAAAATTAAGCGCAGTAGCGAGGCCCCTTAACAAATAATAATGCGGGTACTATACAGTCCCTATAAGTACGCCACTGTTATACTCCGACATTCTGTGGCCATAGTGCCGTACTGGCGTACTGCCGTACCAATGTACTATGTAGTATGTACTATGTACCATACACGATATTTTTTGCATGCGCGTCGCATTCTCGCATCGGCTTGTCACCCTCCCACTATCGTGGAACCGAACCAGGGTGTCCAGTGTCCATAGAGGCATAATACAGGTACTATGGAATATAATAGATATTACAATCTGGTACGGGTATGAGGCAACAGCGAGACGCCGAGACCACACACGTGGTCACCTCTCTACCCGTCCCACCAACATCGCCACCACCACCGACGGCATCACCACAATAACACACCGTCAAAATATCAAACCGCCTGCCGGTTGCCACTTGCCAGTCGCCGGCCCGCCATTATCGTGTATTCGTGTGCCGAGCACTCCTTGTAATATTATTATTCTATATTCACACTTGGCGTAACGTCGTTTTAATTTTGTAATATTTTACGCATTCGTCGCCGGCCGGAAACCCGAAAGAGTATTCTCATTCTGGCATTCCTTGCGAACGGCGTTTGATCGCGACCACGGGGTTATCTAGTGTCGACAAACAACTAATGGTCGTGATCTTCATAGAATTCGTCTCACGTCATTGTTGCTGTAGTTTAATTACGCCAAGATTTTGACGGCAGACGTCGTGCCAAATTGTTTCTCTTGTCTAGACATCAGTGTTGTAGCGGCAGAAAACGCGTTTCGTACAAACCACTCGTAACCGTTGTCCGATCTCATCTGAAATGCTCGCGTACCGTTTTCACGTGTCATTATTGTTGTACTCGGGTCTCGGATGACAACCACATCGAAACGCGATGAAACGCGACCCCGCGCGGAGTGCCTCCGCCATCGTCCTCCAACTGTTGCTGCTGTGTAGTACTCCACAGGTGTTGTTAGGCTTGTCGAAATCGAAAAGCAAGCTGCAGTACTGCGAGAGGCCGCACTCACGATGCTTGGACATGAACCACTCGTTGTCGTGTTTGGGGGTGAAACTGCCTTACACGTCTACTTCTACCGATCTCGTTCCGGATGCCGAGACCCCAGAAGAAGCTCAGGTACTACATATTTGTATACACCATAATCGTATTACGAGATATATCTATAGTGTGCGGTCAACCATAAGGAGTAGTTGATTTTACCAAATTACAATTGGATTTGTAGAAAAACCTAAATCATTACAAACAAGTCATAGCTATATGGTATTCATTTTTAAAGCTAAATGTATTAAACATTGGATATTGTCGTCTAACAATAGCAAAATCCCAGATGCCTACTGAAAAATTTTAATTTTTGAACGCGCACTATGTATATATATATATCATAGTATTTGCTGTCAATGTGGTTTTTTCACCACTATTTTATTATTATTTTTAGGAGCGACTGCACTATTGGCAAGGGCTCAAAAAAGTTCCAAAATGTTGGGCGGCTATCCAACCACTGCTGTGTGCATTATACATGCCCAATTGCGAGAATAGCAGCTTACATTTACCACCGCAGGTAAAATATTAATTAGTCATTACCAGTAAATGTTTATTGTATTTTGTGTTTACCACATACTGTTTGTTGTTGTTGACACATATCATTTACAGATATGACAGATATATTTCACTCCTCACATGATTAATTGGCAATTGCTAATGTTATTTGATACAGGAAATGTGTAAACTTATTGAAAACCATTGTCAAATTCTCAAAATTGAAAATTCATGGCCTGCAGAATTTAATTGTGAAAATGACACACTCTATCCTGCAAAATTATGCAAGGTAAACTACTCGATTTTCATTATTAATATTCATTCAAGTAAAAATCATAGGACATAAGTACTAGTGTGGTGTTCTTCCTAAATATACCTTTATCCACTCTAATATTTTATCCCTTCTTTTTTCAATATCTGTAACTCACAACTCAATTTTTATTGAAGAGAGTTGTGCTAATAATAATTTTCCCTAAATTAAATTTCATACTACTGATATTAAAGAAGAGTATAATTTTGTATAAATAAATTTTTTTGTGTGTGGGGGTTGTGACCCTTTCCTCAGTGTGCGACAGTCCTCATTTTGAACTTCAGAGATATAAATACCTAATAAACTGTTTTTGTAATTAATAACTACAGCTAAACTATTTTTTCAAAACTAAAAATAACCCTTTGTTTAATTGCTTACATAAAATTAGTAGTATAAAATTAATTAATAGTAATTTATAGTATTTTAAATATTAATTTGTATTACTTTTGAAATTACTAATTTCCTATCAATTTAATAAATAACAAATGCATTACTATTTAAAAAATTATTTGATACATTTTCTCAAAAATAAAAAAAAATGACAAAGGAAAGCAAGTACTATAAAACCTAGTAAATTAATACAGATAGAACAGCCAAGAATGCCATAAATTAGAGCATTATTCTTACAACTGTAAATATGTAATTCAGTAAGCTGGATAAATTAAACATAGCATGGAATTTTTTTATCAGTTTCTAATAACTACTTAAATAATATTAATTACTTTTATTAAAATTTTCAGAATGATTTGCGAGAGTTAAAGTTCAACTCAACGGCTGGTCGTTGTGAATCTCCACTTGTACAAACTTATAGACCTGAAGCTTATCATTATCCTAATTTTGAGGGTTGTGATCTTCAATGTTATGATCCTTTGTTTTCTATGGATGAACACCGACAAATACATAATCTTATTGCGTGGACTGCTACTATAGCTGGACTTTGCAATATATTTGCTATTGTAAGTAAATAATTCATTGATATTTTATAAATATTTTTAGCAGTTTAATTTTATTTTCAGCTTACGTTTATGATCGAATGGCAATCATTAAATCGTTATCCTAACATTGTAATACTGTACATAAATGTATGTTTTTTATTCATATGTTTTGGGTGGTTATCACAATTTTGGTCTGGCACAAGAGATGATATTGTCTGTAGAAAAAATGGTGCTAGAAAAACATCAGAACCTAGGTAGGCTCTTAAACTTTAAATTTAACCATTTTTAAACCATTTATACTTTGTATTTAAAATTATTATTTTCTTTCATTAGTGATGAAGATCTTTCTTGTGTTATAAATTTTATTTTCTCATACTACTTCTTAATTGCTGCATTTATTTGGTTTGTTATTTTTACATACTCTCTTCACACAACATTTCAATCCTTTGGTGAGTTAAAATATATATATATTTCATAAATATTTTGTTTTACAATATGTTTTTTTTTTATTTTAAGGAAAAATCCAAGAAAAGGTTGATAAAAAAGGTGGATATTTTCATTTGCTAGCATGGTCTATACCATTAGTGTTTTGTGTCGTCGTGATGGTACTTGGAGAGATTGATGGTGATAGTGTAACTGGCACATGTTTTGTAGGCGTCAATAATAAAATATATAGTATTATATTTGTGCTAATACCAGTTTTAATATCTGTCCTGATTGGTTTATTTTATTTGGTCCGAGTATTATTTGGACTCTTAGCTTTAAAAAAAGAGAGCACACAAGTAATTTCCAAACAAGCAAAGTCAAAGATTCATTCAGCAGCAATTAAAGTGATAATGTTCATGATATTGATTGTTGTATTTGTTTCATCAATGTTTATGTGTTATATTTACGAATACAACAATGATCATTTATGGAGAGATAGTCTTAGAAAATATATTGTGTAAGTATTACTATGATGAAGTGCTTAACTAGTAATCATACATACTATCTATACATATAATTGTTATATTAGTCAGTGTGTTTATAGTACCTATAATTTTGCAGGTGCAAACTTGGCATTATACCAGATACCGATATAGGAAATTGTCGTATTGAGTTTAAACCAAGTGTCTCTAAAAAACAACTATATATATTAGTGTTATTTGGAAATGCAGTACTAATGTCATTTTGGGTGTGGACTAATCAAATTGGCAATGCTTGGTGCGAGTGTTTAATTCGTTGGTGTGTACTTGTATTGTTATTAATTATTCAATTTTAATTAATTTGATTTTTAGGTTAAAGAAATTGCGAGGTCATGAACAGAAAAACCAAGACTCTTCTAAGTATAATAAACATAAGTTGATTGCTAGCGCTTTTGCTAAAAGACATCAACTTAATAGTAATGATTTTACTGTTACATTTTCAAAAGAAGATCCGTTTGGTAAATTTTATTCATAAATGGTTTAAACAATTTCAATTAAATCTACAAAATAAATTACTGTTTAAAAAGTATTTTTTTAATATAATCAAATTATAATATCTAGCATTTATTATTAAAATATAAAAATTAATTATTTTAAAGTCTTTATTTTATTAAATGTATACTTAATAAATAAGTATTCGGTATACTAATGTAGTAATGTATAATATGTATTGAGTAACATCAGTGGCGTAGCCAGGATTATGAAATGGGGGGGGGTGTTTAAGTATAGATTAAAACCAAGTTCTTACAGTTTACGAATATAAATAAATTTTGACTTGTTGCACTAAAAATTATCGAAATATGCAGTCAAAATATACTTAAATATATGCAGCTACATTTTTATATTATTTTTGAAAAATTCATAAAACATACTACAATTTTGGTACTATAGGATAAATAAGTAATAACCAATAACGCCATATGCGAACACCTTAATAAACGAACACGTATCTACTGATTTTTCATTTCTTCGTACAATCTAGAATCTAGATGTCAATTATAGTATTAACACAGTCTTGTCATAAAGAGACTTATACAGGGTGTCCCGTGAGGATTTACCTATTAGCCGTAGAGGGGGACTTGCCGCCCGGACAAAAACCGGTTTTTTGCCGTTTTACTTATTAATTAAAAAAATTATTAAAAATCAGGAAATTAATGAAATTAAAATGTTGAAACGTCAATATTTTCAGAAAAATGAACTCTACAAAATGGCAATCTTCAATATTTTTTTAAATAATTAATTAAAAAAATAATTTTTTTAATTTTTTTACCAAAACATAAAAAAAAAAAATAAAAAATTAGTTATTTGTAGTGCTTACCTCTGTGAGTCTTAATAAAAAAACAGAATTACGATATCTCTATTATTTCAGGAGATATCGCAATGAGTAAATCCTCACGTGACACCCTGTATATTATATAGACTTATGTTACGTACCATATGCGAAAATAGGGCCAACCGTAGCCTAGCTCCACCAACAACTTTAACAAGCAACAGCCCTCTAAAACATTATCTTAATTTTTTTAAGTTTATTCAGTTTTATAATAGTATGGTCTTAGGCTACGGCCTAACCAAATCTCAAAATTAGCGCCTATATTGTACCTAACCAAACATAATATTTTTAAAGATATTTTTCAATGTTATCCAATTATGATTTTTCCCGACAATTGTATGTACATTTAAGTTAAAAAAATGCAAAATATGCGAAAAATCGCTCAAATGTACACTTTTCCTAAAATATGCAAATTTTGTTTGATAACACATAAAAAATTTCATAAGACAAATTTATAACTTTTCTAAAATAATCCACGACCGCTACAATAAAACATGCAAGCAGTCCCGAACAATATAAACAATATATTTATTAGCGGGGAAAATTTCAATGGGGGGTGTTTAAACACCCTAAATCCCCCCTTGGCTACGCCACTGAGTAACATGATATATTTTAACTTTATTTAATTATTTTAAAAGTGACTATATTTAACTATCTTTATTAATAGAATAAACAAACATGTTGAGATAATTGGGACCTAATGAGCAAAATATTTTAAACCAGCATAAAATAAACCAATAATTTGAAAATAGGATTCATACAACCATTTATAGAGAGAAAATGTATATGAAAAAACTTTAGAATTTTAGAATAATATATAAACATTGATGTATAATAATATAAATGTATACGTACAATTATTGATACTTTTGGTTTCAATGGAATTTAAAGTTCAAAATGTTTGTATTTTTTAGGTTTGGTATTTGGTTTAAACAGTAATCTAACAGATAACATAAGTTCTACTTGGGCTGCTGCTTTACCCAAATTTATACGAAGACGTGGAGCATTAACTGGCCAAGAACAACTATCAGTATCATCTTCATGTTTGCAGTCAGACTCAGAAATTAGTTATAGTATGTGTAGAGTTTCTGTGGAATCTCGTAGTCACTCATTAGATTCTACCATATCAGTAAAAGCATTTGAAATGACTCGTAAAGTCCGTCGATTTTCCAAACATGTTAAAAAAAAACATAAAAGAAGTAATAAATTGCTGTGCAAACTACCATCATCTCAGAAGGGAAGTGTCACTTCTCAAGATATAACTCGACAAGTAAGATATAAGTATTAAACACATTTTTATACTTTTGGACCACTAAATCCAATATTCATAACTCTAAAACCTACGGACCACCATAAAGTGTATAGAGCTTCTACAACAAGTAGTAGATCCTAATTCAGAGATCTTGAACCAACAACTTTTTTTTCTTCATAAATACCGTTATATTGATAAATCATATATCAAATTAAAAAAAAAATACATTAATTATGATATAATAATAAATTATATATTATTACGTGGATAATATTATGTAATCTAGTTTTAGTGTTATTTAGTTAGTAAGTTTTGCTTATATAATATAGCGTAAATTAAAAATGCTCATAACTCACTTAAAAACTGAATTATTGTAAAAAAAAACCGTAGATAATGTTCTTACCATCAGGTTTCATAATAGGTCATATCACTCTAATTTTTAAACTAACTGAGTTACTGCTCAGCGTAAATTTGCTATGTTGTGCACTTGTGAGGCAGAGAAAAAAAATATCTGTGTAGCGTCCTCTTAATTAGTTATTTTTATAACTAGTTACCGCTGAAGTACCTTTTTTAAAACAACATTTAATAACCTGTTTGTATTTTCAGTTGACGTTGACATTTCCCGAATTTCAAAATGTGTGTTCACGGCCTGAAACAGAAATACAACAAACTGCTATTCCTAATTTAGAAAGAAGAACAGCTTCAGCTGGCATTGATTCGGGTCTTAAAGAGCAAATGAAAACACTGAAGACTCTTTCAATATCATCCTTAAGTATGGTTAATACAAAACTGTTACAGATGAGTTTTAAGGGTTTAACCAGTAGTAATCAATCGGAACAGTTTATACTAGAAGATTTCACTAAATATGACAGAAGAGGGATGTATAAATCAGTTGCTATCGTGGACACAGACACAAACACTGACACGGAGGAAGAAAAAAAATCATCCGATAACTCTGATACAGATTAGGATTACAAATATTACTTTCTTAAGTTAGGAATAACAAAAGTTCCTATAAATTCAGGGAGACTTGCTCAATGTTCAAAAACCAAATGCTTTTACAACAATTTTATATTTCAGCTGAGTTAAACTTTAGGTTTTATAAAGATAATAATTTTTGTATTATAATATTACTTACTATTTTTGTGGTCTCCTAGACCTATGTGATTTAAAGATTGATTTATATTTTTACATATTTATATTTTTATCTTTAAGATTTCAAAATTGAGTAAATTTAAAAGTGTATTTTAACTTTTAAGTGTACTGCAACAACAATACTGAAATAAATAAATTTTATTTTATTATTTATTTATTTTTTATTTAATTGATTATAATTTTGGATCAATGATATGATTGAACACATCTGAATGTGTTTTTCCTCTCTGACCCACTCGCAACATAGAACATTTGCCTAGCGGTTTCCATTACAAGTCGCGAATTTGGCAAGTGAATCGGTAGGTTATTAGTATTCTGAAGAGTGGAAATCTCCACAGGGAGCAAATTTAAGTGGGCGATTGCAGTTTAATTTTGTGACCCAATACTTTGGCAACCACTATATACTCTATAGTATTATAATAGTGGACAATCGACAGTACGATGGAGAACCAATCATTATTGTTTTTGTATATTTGAAAAGCGCTAATTCAAATTCTGATTTTTAGAATTTTTAAGTATGATGAAGTGGCACCCGTGCACCAGCATGTGTTGTCACCGTCTTACAGGTGTGTAACATCTTACCAACATTTTATGCTTTTTATCCATAGGAGAACAATAGAAGAGGAAGCACACATTTTCTACACACGTTTCCACAATCGACTTCAAACCCATCCAAACTCTCTCATAAAAGAATTTTCCATCCTTACACTCTCAAGAAATCCTAACCGTAGATTAAAAAGAAGGGGGTGCCTTGCCGTGACCTTTTACAAAACTTTAATGTCTAACGTCTATAGAAAAAAAAAATTAAAATAATAAAAAAAAAGTGGGCAAGTGGGTGTCGCTCTGCTGTACAGTAGGTTACAAGTGGATCACTGTATAATGGATGATATTAAATTTGAATTCAACGATATATTATCATTTATCATTGTATAAGAAAAACGATTCTGAGCGGAGACGGTAGTCAGTCTAGGTATAAGACATCTATGGTATTAAACAAAAAATTGACCTATAATAGGTACCTATAATAAATTCCTAATTAATCATATCACAATATCCATTAGGTACTTATAACGGGTTATACATCAACAAAAACCGTGATACTATCATAGATATATAATAATACACTTTAGAAGTTTCAAGTACCCACGAATAATATTATTCAATCACAACAAAAAACTAAAATAGTTGTTCTAGGTTTTTTAATATGTAATTTCGTCCAAATTTGAATTTAAAATGTCTGTAAAAAATGACTGTGTTATTATATTTTTTTGAGTTTTTGGTTACAGTATGAACTATTTATGAGAACCTTTGTTTTAAATTTTCAATCCTTAGCTATAAAAACTGAACATTTTATAATTTATTAATTACAATGATTGATAATTTTCGAGATTTTGATAAATTTTGTCAAAATTCGATCATCTTTAAATGCTTATAAAAAAAAATTGTGGCTATGTATTTTTTATATTTTTCAATTGCTATTGTAACAATTGATCAGGAACCTACTTGTATTACATTTTTACACTTTTTGGCCCAACAGATAAAACTTTATTGATATTTATAGAAAAAAAAAATTAAAAAAATTGAAAACTGTAATTGTCCTTTGACAGCTCAAAAAGAGTCAAAATATTTTCAAAATTTTATGGTGTATAGGAAATGCTAATATAAATATTCAGTGAAATTTTTATATTGATATATTTATATTTTTATAATGTTGTAAAAATTTGTATTTCAAACGCTCATAAAAATTTAATTTGACTTTCCGGTAGAGATTTTTTTACTGATAAAAGGTAGACAAACTTATGAGTAATCTTGTATTACATTTTCAAATCTTAGATTTAAAAAGAAAAATTTTTACGAATTCTTAACTCAAAATAATTTGCTAATTTTCGTGATTTTTCCATATTTTGTCAATTTTTGAACTTTAAATGCTTATAACAAAAAAAGTGTGACTAAGGATTTTTAATATTTTTCATCTGCCTTTGAAACATTATACTAGAGGCCTTCTATTAAATTTTAAAGCTTTCTTAACCAACAAATAAAATTTTATTAATATTTCTAGAAAAAAAACTAAAGAAAAATGGAAAATGAAAATGTCCCTAAACAATTCAAAATAAATCAAAATATTTTGAAAATGTTATCGTGTATAGAAAATGCAAATATAAATAACCAGTGAAAATTTCAAGTATCTACGGTCATTTTTTTAAAAGTTACACGAAAAACCAAATTCAATTTTGTGAAAAATCGATTTTTCGTAAAAATTCCCGTTTTTCCTTAATTTTTCTTGGCGCTTTTGTAAATTACTAGGAATTTTAAATTTTGACCCCCTCAATGCACCAACGATATTCACTTTCGAATTGAACAAGATACTGAAGTTGATGATCGAAGCATTATTTCGACCATAGGCGTGCGCAGGGGGTATGCAGGGTATGCAGCTGCATACCCTGAAGCTCTTTGAAACTTTTGAGCGCAATAAAAATAATTACTAATTTTAGTGCGGCCTAGGACTTGGGACTATAGGAGTGTACATATTATTATGTTGAAACTCGAAACTCGTCCGTCCTCCGTCGTTGCGCTCGCCTGCGAATTGATTCCCCTCATAAATTTATTAAGCAATTATTTTAAATGCAATAATAGCTGAAATAAATTTGTTACAAAACCATGAAATAATAACAAAACAAATTGAAGGCAACTTGGGCGCTAAAATGCTTCATATTTGGCTTCAATGGTTAAAAAATTATGATAAACAAAATATTTTTGGACAATTTACTAACATTTTAAAGAAGTTCACAGTTATACCGGTCACAAGCTGTATATGTGAACGATCATTTTCAAAATTAACTTTGGTAAAATCAAAGTTAAGAAGTACTATGCTTCAAGAAAGACTAAATGCATTGATGCTTATAACGGTAGAACAAGAAATGGCTATTAAATTAAATCCCGACGATATAATAATTGATCATTTCAAAAATTCTACATAATGCAGAATGGTGTTATAATAAAATATATTATTTATTAATATGATAAAGTTTTTTTTTGTTTGTTTTTTAATTGTACAAGTTGTATGACATAACTATTTTAAGTTTTATTACTTTTATTTTTATTTTTATTTGAGTTTTAAGTAAATTTTTTTGAATTAAACAGTAAAACATTTGAATATTGTGTATTGTGTATATATTTTATTAGAATTTTACATGCTTAAAATAACTTTCAGGGGGTACCTGTGGTAATCCAGTGCTTAATTTTGGGGGAGGCAAAAGTACAAAATTGGCTAAACACAGTGTAAACAATGGGAAACTAAGGTAATTAGGGGGGAAGAATGCCCCTTTCCCCCCTCCTGGATCCTCCACTGCTTCTGCATACTCTGAACAAGAGCTAGGGCTGCGCACGCCTATGATTTCGACTACCTATCGTGTACACAGACACAAAAATAAAAATAAAAAAAAATATAAAAACACACATCATTGTAAAATCAATACATTCATCATTCATCGTTCCACTCAGAATCTAAAAAAAAATTAACATTAGTTAAGAGCCACTAATATGTGGCTGCTTATTAACAACATTCATGTATAGTATTCTACTTTTATCATACAAACTTATTGTGCTAAAAATAGTAGGTATAGATTGTTTATTAGTTATTACAAAAAAAAATATAAAAAAAAATAAATATTTATCGAAATATTTATAGATAATATACAAACACTTCGTTAATGATTTATTTTAATTTGATTATTGTTTAAGTTTTTATTGATATAGATAGCTGAATTGATTTTTGTATAATATTTATTAATGCATTGTAAGACAGATATTTTAATTTTAATGTCGATAATACGAAGACATATTTTTTTCTACTGATTTCTTTTTAACATCACTTTGATTTTTTTCCCAATATACATAAGTCATTTGATTTTTTAATATTTAATAATGTGTGGTACCTAATTAATTAATTAAACGAATTAAACTGGAGGGAATTATTAAATTTGATAATTTATATAAGTGTGCTAGGAGGAAACAACAGCGGTGCAAGCGTAATTCACTTGTCCGCCTTTTTAAAAATTAAATTGACTTTTTAAAAAAAAACATACCACCTATTAGCTTACCATCGTTTGTAGGAGTTAACACTATGGTTTGTAGAAGTCAACACTATCTTTTGTAGGAGTCAACACTATCTTTTGTAGGAGTTAACTATGTCTATGTAGGAGTTTACCATTCCCAGTAATTTGTATGGGTACAAATGTACAATGCGGTACATAATATGCTAATTTTGAGCGGTGTGCAGCTATCTCATATCTTATTTTAGTAATTAGTTTCCAAATTATTGGATGATTTTGTCCAACCATATGTGAAAATCGAGAGTTCCAATTTTCACATACCTACTACCTACATTATTAGTTCTATGCCCGTCAGACAATGTGGCAAATTAACATTCCACGTTGTAGGAGAAAATAGGGGACGGCTGCGACGATATTGTACTACTATATTATTTTTACAAGGTCATAATAATAATTTAGGATGTAGATTTAATTTAATTTTGGAGTAAAGAGATGCGCTTAACGTAGGGATAACGGTATTGAAAATAATTTTCGGTCAATACCGCCGCGGGTTGAAACGTTATACTGAAAAACTGAACTGTTTCGATGTACCGAAACCGAAATGTTCGGTATACCGTATACCTAAATACAGATATGGTACGGTATACCGAAATAATAAATAAAATCTAACTAGTATCGATATTTTTTACTTCAGTATTGTTTCGCATTAACCTACCTCCTTTATTATATACTATAATATTTAATATTGTCATTTTATATATTAGGATTATAATCTATATGATTGCCATTGATACTAGAAAATTTAGACGGTTTTTTACGGTATACCGTTTACCAAAATAATTTTAAAATACCGGTATACCTAAAATACCGTCAGCCCTAGCGTAACGTACATATAATTGTAATGCGAGTTATTAATTATTATGGTGACATACGGACGTATATCAAGTCAAGATATTAAAATATCGTAGGTACACGCATATTCCGTAATCCATTGTCAAAAATATTTATTTCATGTAGGCTATTGAAATAGACAATAGTAAATACCTGATCGAATCGATATCGATGTATATATTGAAGTTTAACCAAATAATAATGATAAATTGAGCTGCTCTGTGTTTGTCATTAACACGTTGTGTCTCGTAGTAAGTTACGTTGCCTATGTAGCCTTTTGAAGGCTGTATCAAGTTTTTTTTCGTAATTCATTACAAAAAGAGTATTGTAATTTTCGTTAATAATTAAATGACGAAAGCTAAATAATGTTATTATACTATAGTAACATATATGTTATAGACTATAGCAGTGGTTTTTAAACTGGGTGCTCGGCACACTACCTATATAGGTATACCGGGGGAACTGAAAAAATGTCTCGGGGAAAAAGTCTAAAGGAAAAAGCTCGGGGTAAAAAAAGTTCATAAAACTAATGAAATATTATACAATTTGGAACATTTAAAATAAAACTTATAATATAACCACTCTGTATAATATATTAGTTTTGTGTGAAAGATACGGAAGTAAAATTATAAAATCTACTATTCACATATTATATCTAATATACGTTAGTTTGGCGAGAAAACCTGTAAATAAAATTAGGAATAAGTTTACAATTATAGGTAAACCAGTAACCAGTTCTATATTTCAATTGTACAGTACAGAATAATGCTAGACAAAAAAAACCGATAATTTTTGGTTTTTACCAATGGCTACTTTTATATTTCGACCATACATATGTAAATGGCAAATTACGCCCAGGTAGACCTTGTAAAAATAATATGCATAGTAGTACAATGTTGTCGCACCCTCCACTATTTCTTTATACAACTTGGAATGTTAATTTGCCACATTGGCTGACGGGCATAGCACCAATAATGTATGTGAAAATTGGAACTCTCGATTTTCACACATGGTTGGACAAAATCATCCAACAATTTGGAAACTAATTACTAAAATAAGATATGAGATAGCAGCAGACCGCGCAAAATAAGCTTTAAATGAACTGGGTGAACAATCAATAAAAAGGAAAAAAGAAAATGGAAATAAGATTAAATGCTTTATGCACTCGTTCGGGGACAATAAAATTTAACTTAAAGATTTTTTTAAAAGCTATACCACAAAAATATAAAGTTACAGCGATGATACAACTATAGGATTTTTATAATTATGTAATTTGTTTTTCTATTCTGACCCTTTATGGTATAAATATGTATATTTTTTTAATAATATTATTCTAAAATTCGATGAGATATTTTTTTTTATAATTTTATAAATATCCGTAATTATTTATGTTTTATCTGATTTGTATTTAGTAGTTACCTATTATATGATTACATAATTATTAGATATTATCTTTAGAATACAGACTTTTTAGCCCCAAATCCTTTTTTCCGGGACTTTTTTTCTTACCATTAGTACCATCGAGCGTTTGCTAAGTGTGCCACACTGCCACGGTCTTCTGAAATATTTCAACTATTCGTCCAAGAATAAAATTATAAAAATAAAATTAATAATAACATTTGTTAGCCCATTAACACATTTCTCATTAAATGTATATATAATTATAACTGAAAACAATTTTTTTTTATATCTAATTATTTAGTGAAAAAAAAAGTCAGTGTGCCATGAAAATTGTTTGAGGAACACGGTGTGCCGTGTTTAGTAAAAGTTTGAAAACCACTGAGATAATAAGGAATAATATTATGCCTATAATGATTATTGTGTACCGTCTCGGTCGTTGTCGACGTTAGAGGACGCTACGCATAAATTAGTTATCTCCGTCTTACACAAGCACGACATAGAAAATTGTCGTTCACTAGTTTCAATAGTGTGCTGTTAGTTTTGATACTAGAGTGAATTGACCTATTATAAAACTTTTAGGTAAGAATATTATCTGTGCTTAAGCGTTGCCGGTTTTTCGAAATTTTCGATTTTGTAAAAATTCCCGGTTTTTCTTACGTACCAACTAGATTCACTTTCCCGCCAAACAAGATACTGAAGTTGAAAATCGAAGTATTATTTCGACAACTTATCGTGTACACGACACACACAAAAAAAAATAAAAACCACACATCATTGTTAAACCAATACATTCGGATCAGAACTTAAAATATAATGTGAACTATTTATCGAACACCAATTAATGGTAAAAGTTAAAAATCCTATTTGGCGATAGCCTATTTGTAACTGTATTGATTATCATCATACATATTATACTCTAATAATTTTGTTGAACTTCGACTGTTTCATGAATCATAAAGATAACACCATTTCATCAACTTCGAGAGGACCTTTGCTGTCAATAATGAATAAATATTTTTTATCTAGATTGTAGATAATTATTAAGTATAAACCAAATATATATTAATCGCATAACAATTTACAAATACAAGTCTTGTTCACGTCGCTTTTACAAAATGTAATTATAAATACTAAGTTATAAGTACTGCGTATCTAAGTTTTACGTACATAGAGTACAATATTGCAGTTGGTATATTAGCACTTACTGTATGGGAATATAATACCTACGCTTATACTAATAATTGTGCTTATACTATGACTGTGCGAGTTATAACCAATTATTATTGACATTTAACATTTACTATTACCTTAGTTCCCTACGTTCATCGTTATTCACTCTATTGACGTCCATTATCCGTCATCCGCATCACATCTTATGACAGTCAACGGATGAAATATTCAAACATAATTCATTCGTTGTTCATCACGACTGACATGTGTTATTCGTATTTGCATGCGTTGATAACAAATTAATTGATAAATTAATGATAAGAACCTCTAAACCACGGTCTTGAAGAACATCTTGACGCCGTAATAAAAATAATATTATGCTATTACGATGTTGTAGAAAACTGAACGTTTTTTGAATTAATGTACTCATTAAAAGTTTTTTGTTATATTTTAGATTCAATTATTCAAATAATCCACTTGTATTTGTTTATTAAATGAGATTGTTACTCTTACTTGTTTCTACCTAACCGAGGTAATTCAAATGTTTATTCCCACACAGAAAATGATAGATGAGCTACAAAAATATTCTTATCTTATTATTGATCACACCTCTTCTATTATATAACAGCCCAATACCAATCAATAATGGTGGACCAGTGTAAACTATTCCACTGAGTTGATATTTGTTCAAATTCACATTTTTTTATTTTTTTTGCTTACAAACCATAATATTGTACAAAAGGCAATTAAATATATATTTTTTCTTTTTAGTACACCTGTTGTTTAGTAATGGCATTAGATTTGAATCAACTACCAGCCTTGCCAGCAAAAACTACATTCGTTTTACACCTCATATTAATTACTTGGTAAGTATGAATTTACTATAAAAATATATATTTTTACCTTAACCTAACGTGTTTTACTTATGTTATAGGAGTGTTCAAGGAAGATGGAGTCCAGACTCATATCTTTTTTACAATGTAATCTTCATGGGCTGCGTTTTGTGGGCAATGCATCAAACAGAAAATGAAAAACCAGCGCAGCTAGTAAGTCTTTTTGATTAATTGTATACCAACAAATTATGCAATTACGTTTTTCATGGAAAATAAATCACTGTATTATGTACAACTAGTGATTGATACTAATAATAAAAGTAATAATGTTATTTGAATGTATGATGTACCTATAAAACGTTAGTTATATTATTAAATATGACATTTTACCAAATTAAAGTATTAACTGTATTACCATTATTAATAGTTTAAATTTAATTTATCCACGTATAGTATAAATTGTTATATAAAAAAACTAATTTTAATATTTCAAGATCATTCATAAATCTAAAAATTAATCTTTTAAAATATTAAACTTCACGAAGATTATAAATTATAATAATATAAATAATATAATGTACCGTTTCATAATTATATTATATATTTATTATAGATAATTAGATTTTGGGTGAAACAAGGAATGCATTTGTTTCACATATTTTTTGAAAACGTTTACAACAATGAGTATGAGCAGTACTCGTATTCAGTATAGAACAAATGCTCCATAACTTTCATGTAGTATTTTTATTGAAAGAATAATTTATCTAGTTGATAGTTAAAAGATTTACATGATTTACTTTATTGTTAACTTATGTATTTGAAAGTACTCCCGAAAACTATCAATATTTTTTTAAAGATATATCAACGAGCCTTGTTTTCACTGAGTTCTGCTTTTAATTGTTTTTCAAATATGCTGATTTATAATTAATTATTATTAAATTAAATATTATAATTTCAAAACATACCACCTACAGTGACTGAAGCAATACAAGTACTAATATAACCTGGTATTTATATCCTGTGCTGTATAGTGTATACCAATTGTCTAGTTCAGTTTCACTCTTCCATTGCATCATAACTCTACACTATATTACCTCTATATTATATTTATTTTTAATTTACTTTGTCTTATCTATTATGTATGTTTATATTTTCAGGCTATTTCTGTAAACCTTGCAACAGTATGTTTAGATATTGTCACTATTTATTGTTATTTTCCCTCCTCATTTTGTAAGTAAATGATTATGATTAGTAAGTTGAGGTACTAATAATTATTTTATTTTATTTCTTTTGTCACAGGGTTGTCGGAAATATTCAGTGTTATTTGTGCCATGGCAAATTTGGTGCTACGTTTTGTAACACTGTCAGTTCTCAGTCGAATGTGTATAGACAGCAGTAATGGGGTATCTGATGGCATACCACCTCCTCTACAAAATTATATAAGTAAGAAATGTTCTTACAGTATTATTTCAAAATGTATTTTCTTTGTTATTAATAAAAAAACTGCGTATTTTTAAGGTAGAGGAACTGCTAACCCACAATCATATGAAGATATTGATCAGACCCCACCACAGCAACAAGCTCCAAGCAATGCCCCTTTTTTTACACCATACCGTTAAAGACTACAAAATTATTCTAATACAATTTATATTATGTAAATTGTTTTAACTTGATATTGGAAAACCGTTGTAGAATACGGGAAAAAGTCTCATTATTGTGTCATAACTTATATTGTTATTTTACTAAAAAAACAATACATTTTTTTATTTATTGTAATTTATAAATTTATAAAAATATTTTATAATATAAAAATGTATATTTTAAGTATAAAAAGTAATCAAATTATTCTTAATTAAGTAATATATATTTGATACTATGCTAAATTTGCAAATTTTAAATATTTGCTTGTAATATGAACCAATATCAATACTCTGGTCCTTAAAATGTCCTGTAGTTTCTAAATTTATTCTTTTGAGCATTACCTTCAAACAAAAAAAAAATAAAAATAAAAACATTAATATTATTAATTAAAAAGGAATAAAATCTGATTCTGAGATAAGTGCACACGAAGACATAGTGTTGCATTATTAAAATAAGTTTTAAATTAATGAAAAAAGTGGTACTGACATAGATTCACATTTCTTAAGTGCTTCCAATCAGCATTTCTATTAAATGTAGGAAGATTAGTTTAGAGCATTTAGTGTTATGATTTGTAATCTTAGTAACCAACAACATAACAAATTCAATAAAAATAAATTTAGGGAAGTAATACTAAAAAAGTAAAAACAAATAGTTGTTTTCTGCCACTTGGAGAAACGTTTCAACTGTCGAGAATAGGTACAAACCCACACATAAATTAATTTAAATATATAAATAATAAAACTTTAAATGTGTCATGAACCCTTAAAATAAGTAATTTATTACTTGTGACATTTTCAAAAACCATTCTGAAATAGAATATTAAAGGACATCACAACAATGAAAACGAGTTTGCTTAGATTTAAAGTATGTCATTATTTACGAAATATGGTGTGGGTCTCACACTAATTATTCAATGAGATACAGGCGTTTGATAATATACATGTGACGTCATAGAGCCGAAGTCTGAACAGCGACATATGTCTTACGTATAAAAGTTTACAGATTAACCAACAATTTCAATCGATAAAGATGACATTTTAAAATTTTTTTTTTGTGACATAAGTGTTGTATTGTGTTTAGGACACTGGTTTGGTTATAATTTTGATATACTTTCTAGTGTTTTTTTTATAGTAGATAAAACTATTATAGTAAATTACATAAAAATTGGTTTATACGGCAATACAACGCGAGTTATGAATTCAATAATTTTACTTAATTATAACCTATAATATGTATACAATAACAAGATATATTAAATTTTAAATCATAGCATCGTCTTAAGCATAAAAAATGCTGAAAAACATTTATCGGAAGTTATAAAAATCATTGTGTAAATCAAACTACTTTTACATGTAAAACATGGGCGGCTGATCACTCATCGGCTCTATGACGTCAAGCAGCCATTCATCAACTTTCATTATCTCGTTAAATTATCTTTTTTTTAACTTCAGATTTGTACCAAAAATGTTTTCATAATTTGGACTACAATATTTCACCATTTTACTCATAAAATTAAAAAAAAAATTTAGTGTTGTGATGTCTTTTAAATATTTGTTTTAAATTTCAACTAAGTCCAGTTTAGTTTAATAATAAATATGAAAACACCACATTAAGTCTTTTGTAAGTTATAAAGAGTACAAGTAAATTTTAATATACCAAATATATAAATTAATTATACTATTGTTATTTGTATAGTTCTTATTTTCTGTTTTAGAATACTTACATTAAAAAACTATAAGTATGCTTGCCATCCGTGAAATATCAATGCTAAGTTATTTGGGTCTCTGGCTTGTTGTATTAGTAAATTAACCTGCCCATTAATACTGGCTGCAGCGGTTTCAGCTTGTTCCATTCCACATAATTTAATACGTACTCTGTTTAGTGATCTTTCGGCTAATTTATTTACTTCAGTTGCTGAAATAAATGATTAATAAAAATCAGTAACTGGTTAATACTTTTTTATACTTTTACTCACTATCGTTAATGATAGGGTTTTTTTTTGTTGATTGATTTTGAAGTTGAGGAGCTTTTTTTCCTGATAATGCCCATTGATGACATGGGTCATATAATAAGACTTCGATAACTGTGACAATTACATCTTGGTTTTGACGTAAAACAGACATAGTCTTTTCACAACATCTATTTTATAAACATGTATGTATATATATATATATTAGATACTTAGTAAATAATAAAAAGAATTCTAAAATGTGTTCACTATTCATACTTTCGAAAAGTTCCTTCTATGCCACAGATACCCATACCATCAACAATATCTCTTGTCAGTCTAAATGGAACCGTTTCTGGTGTAGTTAATAAAGTTCCTTGTTCAAATGCAATCCCTAAATTACAGTAATAATATGAATATATTCTAACTATTGGTCATTATTATTCTAACTCACATCATTTCACAGAAAAATATTTTATGTTTTTATACATACCAAAATCAATATGAATGAGTTCCGCAGTAATGTTGTCAATCAATATGTTTTGAATATGACGGTCACCTAGGCCTAATATGTATCCTACCATAGAAGTAGTAGCAACACTTCACAAATATAATAAATTGTGTTATTACTTATTGGATATTAGATAGTCAACTAGTAATTTTAAAATAAACTATTACTGTGCTATTAGCATCAAGATAGATAAGAATACTAGAGCGTGTACTAGACACCAAAAAACTCTCAGATGTCTAAATTTTTGTTCTGGGCAGTGGGGGGGGGAGTATAGCATTAATCATTGGCTGTCGTGATGTGACCGCCGACCGGGTCGTTTTTTCTACGATGTCAATGCAGCTAAAATGGGTATGCCCTCCAGTATTCTTATCTAACAAAATGGCCTACTACAGTATTACTATTATTATACATTTTAAGCAATATTTCTTACCTATGTATATAGGCTTGCCTTCTTTCAAACCAAATGGAAGGTGATAAGAATTTCTCAAAAAAGTAATATCGAAAGACAGGTTTTATTTTCTTACAAATGTCCGAATATGCTTTTTGTTTAGTTAATTCACTATATCTTGGTACGTGAGATGACTGTATCAAACAATAAAATGTTTGCATATAAATACATGTTTTCATTAAAAATATAAACACACAAAAGTAAAAGTCCAGTAAACAATTTGTTAGCTAATTTTGAACAAAATAGTGTAGTATTCCTTTCAGCCATTAACATTCAATCATTCAATCGGAGGAAAAGCATATGAAAAAATTAATAATCATACCCATAATTTATTTAGTATCTCTTAAAAACAATAATAATAAAAAAAAACTACATCATATTAAGTAGTTACGTAGATTATTTATAATAATTTAATTCAAATGCTCATTATTAGCTTTAAAATTTAAATACCACAACACATGAGGGTATAATGTTCTCTTAAACTTCTAGCAATTAATTATATTATAGGTAGAACTCAAGAGATCAAAGAAATTAGCTAATTGTACTGTTAATGTCAGTAGGACACAAATGTTGTTGCATTTGTAACTTTTCTTCTATTATTTAAAATTATTGCTAAGTAAGTTTTAAATGATTTTATGAAAATACTAATTAAAATCTAAAACTTTTATAATTTTGTTCACGTAATTTTACTTAGGTTTATTTATTGACAAATTGAAGAGCGTTTAAATAAGAAAATTTTAAATGAACAGTTATATTCCGATTCAATATATTATGCTTTAGGTAGTAGTTTACATTGTTAAAATAAAATTTAAAATATTTTTTTTGTAGAATTTAAATATTATACAGAAAAAAGGGAGATGGAAATAAATGATTTGTTATTAAATTTATTCATAGTATACATATTGTGTACTCTAAACTGTTACATAAAAAAAAAAAATCAATTAAAAAAAAATATAATAAAACATTGTTATTTTTAAGTGCAATTTTTTGTTAATTTTTAGTGCAATACTGTTATAAATTTTACTAGTTTTTTAATACTCGAACATCCGTGCCCTAGTCATTATCTTACCATACTTTTGTTTTACAAACACATACAACATGTTGACTATTAGTAAATAAATATTTATATAAAATATAAACAATAATACAATTATTTGTAATTCATACATACTCTAAGTTCATTTCTAGCCTCTGTTGGTGTCATGTCTTGTGGCCTATATTTTTGATGGGCCCCTTCAATCGAATCTGTTCCTATTAAGTAGTCACCAACAGACATAGTATTTACACACCATTCAGCAATTCCACTTTGTTGTGAAAATGGGATCACCTATAAATTAAAAATGCTTGGAAAAAGTCTTAATCAAAGCAATATTATACAATACTTTATAAGTTCTTATGGTCAATTTCCTCTTAGCTGTAGATTTATTAGAATTTAGTAATTCATTCATTAATACGAATACTTGTTGCATAGTCGCATCTTGATGCATGTCTTCATTACCCTGAAACATTATTAGACATTGTTTTAAGTATACTTATTGAAATATATGAATAAGCATTTACTTCACCTTTAATAAAAGTGATCGTAGAATACCATCAGAACACAAACAATCAATTTTTTTTGGCTCATGCACTCCACCACAATTTAAGAATGAATTTTTAAATCTATCAATACCTGTAAGTATAATGTAATATATTTTAAGACAAATTCTAATAGATTACCCTGCATTAACTACTTAACTATACAATGATGGTAAGTATACTAGGTATAAGACTATAACTAATACCAACAATAAATATAAACACCGTTATACCTAAGTGTTTTATATTATATATATTTTATATTTTTTTCAGTGTTAAAAAAAAAAAATGTAATGTACTAATTTTTAATTTCCAAGAATGTTTGATATGGTTTTCTGGTCCCACAATATTATAATTGATAAAATTATAACACAAATATTGTGAAGAAATAAATTTATTTATGGTTTTATTAAGCTAGCTATATTATATTTTTTGAGTATGCAAGGATAAAAAATGTGTAGGTTAGGTTCGGTTAGGTATTTAATTATAAAGTTGTTTTATACCCATACATTTATTTACCAAGTGTAAAAACACTGTACACTGGTATCCACAATATAAAATAAATACATCAAAAGTACCTACACCTACACATAGTTTGTCTAAAATAGTAACAATATTGTGATATTTTTTCTTTTATATAAGTGACATATTAAATTGATTATACAAATATTCTAGTGTTTGCCCCCCCCCCAAAAAAAAAAGTTTTCTGTGTGGTAATGATTTGAATGGCTTGCCAACGTTATGGCACCAACAAAAAAAAAGTTGAAATGAGCTTGGTATTATGATTTGTAATGCCATACAGTGAGAGACTCTTTCAAAAAGATTTGGAGCATCCAGAGAACCATTTTAAAAGGAATTACTGGTCAGCTTCAAAGTGTCACGAATATATAATAATTTTTGCATTTCTTATAACAGTTTTATTTTTTTCATTTGAATAAATATTTACTTACTTATAATATTTGAATAGTCACCAAGTTTGTTTAGTGGCAATGTTGCTGCAGGATACATATACAACTCTGAATTTTGTATTTTCATTAGAGGTTGTTCATTGGGAATTAAAGTTCCTACAATCATAGTGAAATTTATAATATTAGAACCTACCTTTAAGATAAAGAGTTACCTGCATGTTGTCACCGTCTTAAAAGTGTGTAACATGGTACATTTTAAGCTCAGCAGATCACATTTAGCTCCGTTAGTTTAAAGATTAGAGTGAATTTATCTCTTATATATTGTAAATTATTTGTACAGCTTAAAATACTCATAACTTGCTTTAAAATTAAAATATAATAAAAAGCCTATGACATTGCCTAGATGATAAAAATCTTGCTTTTAAATTTTATAAGAGGTAAATTCAATCTAATTTTTAAATTAATTGAGCTAAACGGAAATAACATATGCAGGTGCCAAATCCTCTAAAGTTTAATATTATTTTAAATAGTTAAATCTTACGCTGGCCACGTGTACAAGAAATTTTTGTATACGCTAATTGTATAAACGCTTCATATAATTTTTCAGTATTCATCACAATTGAACTAATATTTGTATCTTTTTTCCAATTTGACATTAAACGTTTAGCAGCTTGTACTCTAGACTAAAAATTAAAACAAATAATGAAAATTATAGTTTGTGAGACTACTGTGAGACTAAATACTTCTTCTTCAGGCGGTTCACATTGATTAAATTTATGATCTATATTTGTATTTGCAACAGCATAAACAATTGGGATGGTTTGATAAGGGTGATCCATTGCACAACGATCTATAATAAATAACAAATTTGTACTTGAAACCAAACTAAATGAAATATATAAAATAAGTTATAAAAATTGTATACTTATGATTGATTCCAAAGATTTATGAAAAGAGTATTCATATGTGTAACTTAAATGAGCAACCAATTGAGGAAGAACCACAATAAATTTATATGAAGGATTTCTTTTAAACTCTTGGTCAACAATATCATTTATTTCGTTGTTTTCTTTATTTTCTAACCATAAAGATACAATTCTATAAATAGGAAGTTTGCTTTCATCATCTAATGTCATCAATTGCAAATAGTTTCTAAATTTAAACAATACAAACGTTAATATTATGAAATATACTGATAACTATTTATTAACAACAAAGTGTAATTAATAATTCTTATATGAATTTTGATTTTTAATTACTGAATAACGTAATAAATATAATAAGTTTCAGTTACTAATAACTATCAATAACTCAATAACTTTAAAATAACTTAAAAATAGGTATAAACATTTTATTTATTTTTTGATGCATATTATGTTTTTATTCAATCTGTTACAAAAAAAAGAAGAACAATAAGAAGAACTGATGGTTTACAGGTTAAAAATAAAAAGGCAGATTAGTCAGACTGTACTACGACAATGGTATAAACTTAAAATTCACAAAGTATAAGGTATATGTTTTAATCACATTTAGAAGGTACTAACTACTAAATCAATATATTTTGAGAATGTCAAAATTATCTATAGTTTACTTTTAATATGTATGTTATTTTACAGGGCAGGGGTCGTCATTGATTTATAAAGGAAAATCGATCGACCTTATTAAAAATGAATTACACCAATATTTGTTATTTACATGTGTAATCTTAAAACCGCTGAGACTGAAACACACTTTTACGCTTTATATACAAAATAAAGTATTTATTAGCAAAGTAAAACATATCTGATGGAAAAATAATAAAAGATTATTATTATAAAACCTATTGTTATGCTGCATGTAATAATATAAATAGTATAGGTACCTCAAGTCCTAAACAATTAGTGGTAGATCACCAGATACCTTGTTGGAAAAGGATGGCGACCTTTGTAATAAGGTGTACCTAAGTGACTAAGTGGCTTAGTGCTTTAAAATTTATCTTTGAAAAAACTAGACAGAAAATATAAAAACAGGTCTAAGTCCACCTCTATTACAAACAGATATTTAAAAAACCACATACCTGGGGTCATTCATATAACTTAAGACACTCGTTATTTTAAAAACTATTAATATTTTTGAAAATATAGTTGTTTTAAACAAAACTGTTTGTTTCTACAAAATTTAAAATATTTAAAAGTTTTTATCGTAATCATTTTTAAATTAGCATACATTTTAGATTCTGAGCGAAGCAATGAATGCATTGTTTTTAAATATGTTCTTATTTTTTTATTGTCTGTCACCACTGTTTGGGACAGTAAAACTTCTTCGATTTTCCACTTCAGTATCTTGTTTGATGGGAAAATAAATCAAGTTGATGCTTTGGGTAAGTAAAAATTCCCAGTAATTTTCAAAAGCGTCAGGAAAAACAAACGAACAATTTAGGAGAAACGGGAATTTTCAACAAAATCAAATTTAGTTTTTGGTGTAACTCTAAAAATAATGACTGTTAAGTGTTGATACATGAAATGTTATGTTCACTAGTTGTTTATATTAAAATTTTCTACACACAATAAAATATTCAAAATAATTTGACTTGTTTTGAGCGGTTTACAGACATCAATTTTCATTTTTTTTAGTTTTTATTTCTATGGATGTCAATACTATTTTATTTGTCAGGTAAAAAAGCTTGAAAATTGAATAGAAGGCTCTAAATTTATTGTTACAATGACATTTGAAAATATGCAAAGTAAAATTTTAAAGAAACATTACATTTTTTCATTCTTTAAAATACATTTTTTTATCATAATTTATGTATGGTAGTATAATGATATAATATATTTTACGGTAGACATATAGTAAATATAAAGTGACCATTGCTCAGAATAAGGTATGTTCTATTCCAAAAAAAATAATTCACTTAAATATATTATGAGTGTTTTGGTAGTTTCAAAAGAATCTAATTCTAATTTTAGACAGTATCGATGAGCGAATTTAAAAAATGTGTATTATTTCACTCATATATGAGAATATAGCTAAAATAGCCAAAAATAGCACTTTGAATTTCAGTTAAACAAATTAGCATAATAAAATGTTGTATACGATAATGATATCAGGGTAATGTAATACAAATTTGTAACTTATACTAATATACAATGACATATTCAAAAAATAGGCATTTGCTAGAACCAGAAGTTCTAGGGCTCGGAAAGCCCTGCTTTCAAGTTATAACTAACAAACTACTTTAATTGTTTTTGATTAATGTTTTGATTTGGAATATGAATTAAAAATGTATGTTGTCATTTAAAAGAGAAAAACTTAAAAATAATGATGTAAAAATATATTTATTTCCCAAAAATGTTGTTTGGTAATGACTTGAAATTATGTTAAAGAAATATTTTCAAAAATGTTAGTGTTTTCTGAAATAAAGAATGTCTTACCTTAAAATGGACCACACCGTATATACTTGTTAACAATTACATTTAAATATTTTTGGAGCATTGTAAAATTATAATTTATTTTTACATAATTGGTTTTTATATAAAAAAAAAAAAAAAAAATGAAAAAAAAAAAAATACCTATCCTATATTCCTATTAACAGGGACTATCCCCTTTTTATGGTGATAAATCAATTTATGTTTATATAAAATGTTCTTGCATTCAATAAATATTTTGTGATTCAAATCAGCTAATTGACTACATTGTATAGCAAATATTTTTCTTATTATGAAGTGCAATATTAATATTACTTACTGAAGTGTTAGTTTCAAATATTTATTCTTCTCCTCGTGTTTGTTACTTATATCTCTTTTATCAATTTTACTTTGATTTTTCAAAAATAAACCAGCCTGAAATTTTTCTCTGTTATTGGTTGATTTTCCTAATTCATACAATGCTATTCCTTTAATTGAATTGTCTTCAACTTCAAGGTTACGTTTTTGAAAATCTTCTGTTTTTATATATTTATATAATTTTTGATATAATGTATCCGTAAATTGAGATAAATGTTTATGAGCATCTGACAGTACTTTTTTACAATCTAATCCAAACTCTTCTGTATGAGCTGATTCCAATTTTAATCTTCTGATAGACTATAAGTAAACATTATTTAGGTATTATTAAAAGTACATACAGATAACCATATTATGGTAAATAATTACAATATTATTAAAAAATAAATCTTAAATTAAAGTTATATAATTAATTACGTAGAAACAGTATTAAGAATAGCAGAAGGATGCATTGGCGAAGCTGTTCTTCAAAAGGACTTATTATGGTATAGTTAGTGACGCATCAGAGGCATAAACAAAAGGACACATTTTAATTTATATATAAAGTTGCCTATTTAATAAAAAAAATCCCAGAGTTTGAATTATATCATTAATGGCATTGTTATTTGAAATTAATTAAAATATTGTAATTAACATTCAAATAAATAAATATAAATAAATGCCATGTATACAGTTGGAATTAAAATAACATTAACAAATATTAGGAGGACGTCATATCTACACATGTATTATCATCGTCTTACAAATGGACAACTTATCAAATTTGAATTCAGTTGTTACAATTTTGTGTTGTTAGCTTTAATATTACAGTGAAATGACCTATTATAAAACTTAAACGAAAGAACATTATTTATGTTAAATTGTGGGTTCTTTGATATTTTAATTTTTAAGTGAATTATGAGCATTTTTAAATATTAAAATTTAACATAATATTCAATTCACTTGAAAATTTAAATATCGTAAGAAATCAATTAGAGAACACAGATGATGTTTACCTTTAGATCAATTAACTCTAATACTTAAACAAATAATAATACAAAATAAGAACTGCTGAATGTAAATGTTGGTTAAATGTTAGTTACATTAGTACACATTCAATGTGCTAATATACACAAATACACATTTAAATATAATTATTAACTACTATCGTTGATTACATCATGTATATATTTTAATCAATTCTCTATAGTGACACACAAAATTGAGCTCTGACCACCAAGTGCCAAGTTGCAGTTTTTATTTTTTTTACTAACTTTAAGTTACTAACAAAAAGAAAAAAGTGTGTGCACAGAACACATATTAATTTAACTTTTTAAATGTAAAGAACATATTATTGTACCTTTTGAAAATATTTTCTTATAATATCATTTGATGTTTCTGATTTTGTTTCTTCCATCCAAGAACCATAAAGTTGTAATGCTAATGAATGTAAGAAAGGATATTCACAATTTTCAAGTTCTTCAACAACATTTTTTAATAAAACTCTGAAAAATTAACCATTTAAATGTTTAATTATTATATTAATGCGTAATTGAGATAGTAACATTTTACCTTGCCATATGACAGTCATTTCTTGTCCATAAAAGCCTAGTCTCCTCCACCTTTGCCCATAAGACGGTATGTTTCTGATAAATGTCTAAATTAGCAACTGTGGCTAAATGTCTTCCAGATTCTTGTAACCAATCGTTTTGTTGAGCTAGCTCTGCTATTTTCATTCTTAGTATGCCTGATCTTTTATCACCATCAAAATCCAATAACTTACAACGTTGAGAAAGTATTCTATTGATATTTACAAAATCATTGGTTCTTAAAGTTTTTTGATCTAACCAGTTGTAAAATAATTTTGTTTTATCTGATGTAGAGATAAAATCATCAAGGTCCTTTAGGTATAATTATTAAAAAGTAAAATTAGGTATTATTCATTAAATCTAAGTGCATTCCGTCATTTACTTACTTCAATTATTTTAAGTTTGGCTAACGGAGTATAAATTGTTGCTGTTGATTCTAGACTTGCACAATATAGAGACTCAATAACTACTAATCTAGCTTCATTTATCATAGGAATTGCCCTATCTAAATTGTTAAGATACACATGTCGTAAAGCATGATAATGCAATGATTCAAAAGACTTGTCACCACAATCTGGTAAATCCCATTTATTTAATTGCCAACAATAGTCATATTTCAAACTATCATTGCTGGAAGCCATGATGTGAGCAATATTTTGTAATCCAGAATTTGTAAATGCTTCTAAATAATCTAAATTACAAGACATTTATTAAACAGTCATATGAGTATATTTTTACTAAAAGTTGTTGATATTTTGTTGAAAACTAAGTTTATACTACAACCGTAAATCACCTTTGGAAATGACTTCTGTGGTCTGCTGCAAATCACAATTCTCCATAACACGATCCCATTTTCTAAGTTGTTGATAGTATTGTGTACGAGAAGAAATATTTAGTAAATAACTTGAACCACAGCCTTCAATTGCATCAGAATCACCAATTCTTTTATAAGACTAAATGTATTTATTTATTGAATTATTTATTTTGAAGTAAAGATTTATTTAAATAAAGAAAAAATTGCTAAGATGCAAATTACATTTATTTATAAAGGATCAAAATTGTACAAATCTACTTTTATCTAAATAAAGTTGCATAAAAATTGGTAAAATATTGTCAACTTTTATATAATAAAAAAGTTAGGTATCTAATAACTATTATTCTATAATAAAAATAAACACACATAATATATTTAGACACCAATTTTTTTTATTGAAACATGTTTAGTTAGAACATATTTAAAATAAAAGTGACTAGAGTATCATTGGTAGTATCAAAATTAAAATATATTTGATTATAGTTATTTATCATTGTATTTTATTAACTTAACAATTATAATAAAAATTATGGTAGGATTTTAACAAGACGTTTTTGGATGAATTTAGTACTTTTAAACTTATACTGAATGTATTATTGCATTTGCATAGTATACTTTTTCGGAATTGTGAATACAAAAATGAAAGTTATGCATTATTTAAAACATAATCATTTTAAAATTAAAAACTTAATAGTTAATAATTATAATTGGAATTTTATATTTAAAATAATATTAATAGATTAATTACAAACTTCATTAAGAATTGATTGCAATAAAAGTCCTTCTTTGGGTGATACGTCTGTGATCACATCCACAGGATTAAATATCATCGACTCTTTATCTTTGTTCATTTTTCTAAATGTGAAAAAATAATAACAAAGTTAATCAATTGTTATACAATACGACACTTTTATTTAAATAAATACAAGTAAAGATATTGTATAAATAATTGTTAGTAACTACTATTAAGAAGCCATTAAAAAATTTGACTGTAAAAATATGCTTTTGTACATCCATAGTAGGACGGGCCTAGTTGGTCACTTCTTCAAAACAATCTTAGTAAGTTCTACTAAAACAATATTTAAATAGATTAAGTTGGTATATATTATATAATTAAAATTTTATATTTTTAAATAATCATAAAATTTAAAAATAACAAAATAAAAAAAGGCAGGTAAGTGGATGTCGCTCAGCTGTACAGTAGGTTACAAGTTGGTCATTGTTTAATGGATTGTATTAAACTTGAATTCAATGATATAATATCATTGTATAAGAAAAACGATTCTGAACGGAGATGGTTTGTCAGTCCGTATATTTTATATTGTCATTAATTATTTTATTTATTTAATTATTATTTTTTTTAATCGTTGCTACGGTGATAAACAAATTGTTAGAAATTAAAATCCCATTTTAAGCGGTTTTTCGTAATTTTTCAGTACTTTTTCCCGTGGCATTAAATAACTATTGAGAAAATCGAAAAATGACCTCTCTAAAGTACCATCTTGGTCCAATTTGCTAAAAGATAAGGTACTATATGTTGAAATCAAAGCACTCCTTCTGGTAGAAATTTTGTATACAGGATATAAAAAAAAAATAAAAAAATAAACACCATTGTAAAACCACTAGCTTCCTTGCTCCGCTCAGAATCTAAAAGCTATTATTTTTTTTTAAGTATAACTACTCAAAGTTTGTTTACAATCAACGAGGCCTGAGTACTATTGGAAGTATAAATAATAAATTAATAAATATTACAATAAAACCAATAACTTACTTCAATGTAGTTTCACACCAAAGCTCTAAATATTGGATAGAAGTAAAATGTGCAGAGCAAAATTCAGCTGCTTGGGATACATATAAGTAATTTATATCCAAATTTGTTCTAAAAATACAAAGTTGCCTTTAACTAATATTGATATTATAAAATTTATAAAATCTTTAAATTAGTTTCTTGTTAAGTAAATTAATAATATTTTTAACACTATAAAGTAATATTCAAACGATAATTACTGTAAAGGATTATTTTGTTGAAGTCTGATAAAATTAATGATGCTTAGAAGACATTGTACAGCCGATTTATTACAATAAATGTTATTTTCAATGGCATCACAAGCTATAACAGTCAATAGGTAATAATGTAATATAGATAAATAGTAGGTATAACTGTATAAGGTTTATATTTGAAGACCATGCAAGTATGATATTTAGTCATGGAGCAAGATATTTATTAGGTCAGCAGTTAAAAGAAGAATGGAGGCGAACAGTAAACTCAAATAACCAATTAACATGTTAAGTGCCATGCGGCGGCCGGCGGTCAAACGATTATGCATCATCTGTATGCCAAGTATATTTTTCAGTGTCATTCCAAATTTGTATATAATACTATTTATTTGAAAAATATAAATTTTTTTAAAAATATATTTATAACATCAAAAAATGTGTAATGATTTGCTCTATGCTACGGAGCTTGTTTTGTGCATAATTGTAGCGCCACGGAATAGTTAATAATATAAAACCATATTAATTTACAGCTGCTGACGATCAATTGTGGCTGCCGGCAGTCATAAAAGCATATAATTTGAGATTGACAAATGACCGTCGGCGGCCGCATGGCACTTAACGTGTTAAAACTTTTCTCCAGGGTATCAGAGAACATTATTCACTTAAATTACTTGTTGATAGTAAAATAAAGCACCATTTTTTTATAATATGTAATGAAAAGGTGTAGTTAAGCAGGAATATTGTATATAATATATACTTAATGATAATATTTAGATTAGATCAGCAGTTCTCAACATGAATTAATTGAGGGCAATAATTACCATTATTATTAATATTATAAATAATTTTTGTATTAAAATTATGCCAAAATATGTGTTGCCTCCATTTTAGAAACAAACAACACACCAAATTTGAGTTTTAGTTTTAGTTGTTAGTTTTAATATTATTGTAAATGGTCCTTATAGCTAAGAATCTTATCTAGGCTATCTCATATCATAATGAGTGTAACAAGGATTCAATAGTTACAGATTGTTAAAGTATTAATTCAAAATAACCCACACCCGTGGGGGGTTGTGTCTTTCCCACATCATCCTTTTTGAGAGAGACTGCCACTGACTAGTGTTTAATTGTCACAGAAAATCCTATGGAGTCAAAGTTTAAAATGAGCTCTATAAAGGTCCAACTCCCTCCTTTTTTAAAAAAAATGTATATCAATTGTAAACAACAAAATATTAAATAAATATATATATTTTATTCTACAGTAAGCACATTTAATATTGTATAAATGTATATACCTGATCTGGAAACGAATACTTTAAAAATATTATTATCATTATTCATTAATCTTAAATAAATCTTTCTATGTTGAGTATAGATCACTAAATCTATTTTGTGATAAAGTTGATCTTATGCACATTTTAATTCTCATTATACAAAAATACATACAGAATGTTCATGATGACATGATGCAATTAAAATATTTTAATGCGATATAGTATGATTATAATGGCCTCTAGTATACCATAATTTACAACAATTTTTTAAAAAGAGTTTCTTACTTTAAAATTATATAACATAAATACAGTACAATTTATATAATTATAAATTATTATATACATATGACAAGATCTGTAGAAAAGGGGTGAGACTACATGGCGCCCCTGATGCAACTGCCTTATATTTATACTGTTTAGCAAAATTATTTTTTCTTTTACTAAATCTAACACGTCTTCATTTGTCTCTCTTTCCAACCATTTAATTTTCCCTATATTTCTCTAGAGCATCCTAATTTTAATTCAACTAAAAAATAGTGTTTAAAGGAATAAATTGTTGAAAATATGTATCTGATAGACTAAAATCAAAAAGTTATTTTTACGATAAGATACTTTGGGTGGAATAAAATATTTTATACATTATATTTTTTACTATATATTTTTATGGAAATGTTACTATTACAATATTGTACTAAAACATTAACCGTATATCTATATTTTAATGCAAAATAGGACCAGATCTAAATACTGAAAGATATCAAACACTCAGGTTTTTTTAGAAAATCTATATTATTAAGACCTTGAGAACGAAATATTTAAATATACAATCAAATTAATTTCATGTACAATAAACTGTGATATAGTTAGTGAATTCATTACTTAAGTCTATACTATTAATGAATAATTATTTGTAATATTACCTCGATGAATATTTCTATTTATCTTTTCACTTCTCATTTTATGATGTATAAGGAAAAATCTGTTCAAATGTTTATTTAATATAGGCCTTGTCAATGGTTTGCATTCAAGAAGGAAATAAACTAGATGTGGTAAAATGTTTTCACAGAACACAGGCTAAAATTAAATTTACATTAATTGATATTATTATAGATGTTAATATATCTATTTAAAGAGTTTACTTTATTTTCTGCAATAGGCAATAAACTTTTGTAAAAGCTTTGAAGTGTTTCCAATAAATTTTTGGTAATGATTGTAATCCAATTATTGTAAGAAATAGATTCATCTATTGGGCACCAGATATCGTCTTTATCAATTAGTAAATTAAATTGTTCAATATCAAATAATTCAACATCCAATTCTTCCATTGAAGATTGTTCAGGTTTAAACGGGTACAAAACCTTTGCACCTAACTCTTCTAAATGTTTAATTACATTTAAAATAGTAAAATTAATACAATTAAACAATGTTTTAATGAAAGTTATTGATTATATTACCATATAAACTTTTTCCTTCATTAGTCGCCATAACTTTGAATAAGGTTATATTACTTGATTCCAAAACGGAAATACTATCGTCACTTAAGTAATTTAAAACCAATTCAACTATATGCTTTATAAATGAGTATTCTAGGGATATATTAGATTCTAATTTCAATACTTCAGGTTCCGGTTGCAATATTAGAGTAGTTAAATCAGCTGGACCCAATATCCCCAAACAACTGGCAGCTAAGATTTTAATCTATAATACAAATATATTAAATAATATAGAATAGAAATTGCTTAATACAATTTTAAAAATTTCCTAAAAGTTTCATGAAGGGACAAAGGGTGCCTACAGTTAGTTATTATTGGAAAATGATAGCACTTAGTTTATTGGGATATGCAAATATTTTAATTTGAGAATACTTATTAAACAGACAATAACCGTAAATAATTTATTATAGATTGTATATGATATAATCATAAATAAACAAATAAAAAAACAACAAAAGGATAGGTACACAAGGTGATTCTTTTATTGAAGGAGAGAGCCTACACCGGACCCCTATGTCCAACACTCTGTAAGAGGAGTACCTTATGCAATACTGTTCTTATTTTTGTTGTGAGTCCCCCGAGCCATGCGCTCCCTGGCAGACATATACTTTGCAGCGTTGGCTGAGGAAAGCCTGCCAGGTCGTAGGTGTTTACGCCTGACGCCATTGATATATTAACTATGTTTTATGTCAATAAACGATGGGGGTTGGAGGAAAAATAATGCAACGCCGTTGCTCCTCAGTCCCTCAGTTAACTTGGAAAAAAAAGACTCATTATTTCAAAAATTATTAATGTTTTTGAAATTATTTTTTTACATAGTTTTAATTGTTAAAAAAATCATATTTTTAAATATTTTTTATCCTTATAATTTTTTATGTTTTTTTACTTTTTTGAATAAAAACAAGAGTTTTAATTTCATATTCCAAATCAGAATATTTATCTAAGTATTTTGATGCATAAATATCAAATTTAGGACAAGTCGTTTATGAGTTATAAGTATTTAAAGATTCGGGTGGTGCTGCTGAGTGCCTGCCCTTAAATGTTAAACTCTGTTATTTCACATTATATTAACTATAAAATTTGCCCATTGTACATAATGTTGTATAGATTGTAAATTACTTAAATATATAAAAAAAAAAATAAAAAGTATTTAAAGTTTAGACAAGCGAAGTAGTGGAGAAACATTTTGCGGAGTACCACTCCTCTCCGCCCAACTAAATTTTAAATACTTATGACTAATAAACTACTTGTCCTAAATTCAATTTTTATGTAACAAAATACTTAGAAAACTATTCTGATTTGGAATATGAAATTAAAATTCATGTTCATTCAAAAAAGTTAAAAATTAAAAATTATAAGGATAAAAAATATTTAAAAATATGATTTTTAAATAAAATCGCTGTTTTTTAACAACATGAAACTATGTAAAAATTTTTTTCAAAAACATAAATACTTTTTAAAATAATGAGTTTTTCATGATAAAAGAATCAACCTGTATGGTGGAATTAAAAAATCTGAATTTAAGATAAAAAACTTAAAAGTAAAGCTAATATTGTGCATTTGAAAGAATGATTTGAACAAAACTTGTTTTACGAATACTAGTAGTTTTTTATAAATTTATAAAAATAAATAATTATTTGAAATGTAATTATAACGTAAAATGGGAAGAACTGTTACTTTTTTTAAAAACTTATAATTAATAACAAACATATCTTAAGGCCAGTTCCAACCGTAGATAACCAACATTTGAAGAATGTTTTCTTTTTAAATATATATTATAATAAACAGAGACATAAAAATAAAACTAGTTAAAAAAGCTCACTCAGCGGGCGTAGTAAGTTCATGGTTTTTTACAGTATTTTAATACAATACAATAAATTATAATTCCATATACAATTTTTGTACAATAAATATATACCTATTAATATGAACAATCGTAACTGTACTGGTAACTAATAGACGGGCTCAACGGGGATAAAGATGTTCTGAACATATATTTATAAACCTATTACACTATCAGAGAAAGTTATTACATACTTATAACTTGAATACATACTTCAAATTCATCACTTTTTGTAAGCTTCATTAGTGTACAAATTAAACAATGTAAAATACTTTTGACACAATCTTCTGAAAATCCCCGAATTTTTAACAGTTCTTGGTACATGTATTGAAGTTCTTTTTCATTTGATTGTAACTTAAAGGAAAAAATCTCTATGTATTTACTTACTATTTAAAATATTTTTTAAAGTAAATATTATTTGAGTACTGACTAACCTTTAGTCTTAAATATTTTAGAGATTGAATTATATCAGTGTTTTCATTTTGTTGAGATAGAAAAGAACTTATGTCCTTGTGTAGTGATGTTTTATTTTTGTTGTATGTTTCACAATCAACGGTTTTATCACTTAAATTTTTAAGAATATTTAATAAATGTAATAATTTTTCATTCGAGGAAGGTCGTGTCTTCGCCAATATTCGTAGAGTTGATGTCAGAGATCCAATTTGACTGATATTTAATTTTAAAATGCATCTTGGATTTATTAATAACCATTCTAAATATTCAATAGTATAATTGTGCATTTCAAAACTATTTTGGTTTAATAAGGTGATAGTCGACTGTACAGATTGATTAATTAGGAAATGAGAAAATGCATCTAATTGGTTAGAATCTAATAATTGACCGATAAGAGTCTTCATAAAAACTGTATATTGGACAAATGACTGATACCTATAAATTGAATAATAAAATAATAAATAAAATAATATTTAAAAACAAAATAATACGTGTACCATAATTCTGATTTTATTGTTTTGAAAATATTCACATACAGAGTGTGAACAATTTTTTGAATATAATCAGGTCTTAGTGTTGACATAAAAATTAAAAACGGAATTTTATTTTTTACATATGTCTCCTATTGTAAAAAGAAAATTAATTAATTAACAATGATAATAAATAGAATAAGTAGATAAATTAATTACTTGAAAAATCTTAATTAAAATCAGAAACTGATCGCTGCTAATTTGTATTGGAGCAATTGGCTGTTCTGTATTTATGACAACCATTTGGATAAATTGTAATATTATATTTGAGCACTGGGAACTTATTAGTTCTTTAAAATTTATTTCACCTAATTGACTTTCAATGAGGTTTTTAATTTCATCGTGATTGAGAAATGGCACCTCTACAATCTTAATAGCCAACATATATGAAAATATAACAGGAAAGTTTTCCTGGAAATTGACAATTTTGATAAATATTTAAGACATAAATTATAGTTTTTATTACTACTCCCCTACTATTTAATTATTTAAAAAAATAGCCCAATCCAAAATTGCGATACAAATACAAATTAAGCAAATTTATCTTATGAAGAATTTGTAAAAAATCTTCCATTAAAGTGAGCGAATACCCCTTAGAAAATCCTCACCCTAGATGCACCAATGTTTATATGCACAGACTATGATACGCTATTGCTTAGAAAATAAACACCTGGTAACCATAGAAAAGCTTTTAAATATTCAAATTAAAGTCAACAAAATTTTTTTTTTTACTTCTATATATTTCAACTAAATATATAATTTAAGAATCATATTAGGGGACGAGGTGGCCGTGCGGTCTAAGGCGTCGGTCGCGACGCTGCCGACGCCGGATCGATTCCCGGCCACTGGGCGGCATTTTTCTTCGGGCAAGTCACGGTGTCCGGAGAACAAGTGCCGCCATCCCCCACCCGGGCATGGCAGATACCTACGGGTGCCCAAATTGAAAATTCTGCCAAAACCCAACACCCACGTGTTCCCCCCTACAATACACCTACAATACACCTACAAAAACAAACCATACAGCTAATGGCCACAGTTGCCGGGCTTACGTTCAATAAAAAAAAAAAAAAAAAAGAATCATATAAATAAAAAAAAAATTGAATTCAACTGATAGATATTATGAAGGGAAAAATGCACCAGTAAACTCAAAAAATTTTATTAAAAAAAAAATATACACAATAATAAAAATGTTACTTACTTTAATTACATCACTAAGAATACCCTTGGAAATGAAAAAATCCAAGTCATTTTTTATAACTAAAATGGGGATGGTTTCAAATGGGTATTTTTTAAAGAATTGTTTTATTGTTGTGCAAGTAAATAATTTAATTGGAAATCCCTAAATAAATAATTAACCAATCAATAATTAATAAAAATAAAAGTAAATAAAAATATTACTTTGAATGAGGAATACTTCAAATGCCATGTCCACAGTAAAAATTTTAAATTATTTTCTAATAACTCCATATACGATTTCATTTTTAATTCAATTTTCACACATTCTAATAGATTAATCACCAAATCTAAAATAAAATAATATTTAATTTAAAAATGAAACACTATCAAAACCAATGCTAACCTAGGTGAATTTGTTTAATATAAACGGTTTGAAGAACTTCGAACAAACATTTTTTTCGAAATTTAACACTTGATGTTATTAACGATTGCATGCATAATAAATATGTGGAAATTCTATTGGTATACTCATCTCCATGTTCTTCTTCACTAATATCGTACTAGAAAGATTTTTTAAATAGTTCATCAAATAATATAATACAATAATATAATCTAATAGTAAGAAACTCACATCAACTGTAAATCCTTCTTGTATTTTATGTAATATAATGTCAAACATTTCTTCATAGCTTATTATGTATGTATTTGGATTATTTTCATAAACATCACACATCACTTTTATACATCTAATAGCAGCAATTCTAACCTGTAATATTATGTTAAAAGTAAATCAAAGAACTAAATATTAACTTTATATGTATACACAATTTATACAAACCTGAAGAAATGGACTGTCTAAATAAAATAATATTATATTTTTCGGACTCATGGGTTGTATCACATTGGTATCAATATTCCATGTTGATCCAAAACTTCCATTATTTGTCTAAGGTTACATCAAATATAATATTAGAAAAAAATAATGATTATATAATTAAATAAATTAACTTACAGAAGCAAAATGTCCAAGTAAGTCAACAAAAGCACAAACCATTTTTGGTCCACAATTTTCGGAAGTAGATATTTTTTGTAATGACTGAATTAACATAAGTAGATTAGTAGTGCAAACTTTATCGAATTTATTTTTAGTAGTTATTCGAAGTGCGTCTAAAATATAAGTAAGGTAATATAAACATATATAATGCTCGGAACAAAATATTAATAAATGAGTTTACCACTCAAAAGTTGAGTTATTTGGATAAAACCTTCTTGACGAGAACACCAAGCTTTGGCTAGTTGTTTAATAAACTTATTCATTTTAACTATCATATCTATTGATAAATTGTCCAAACTCAAAGTTATACGAAGAAAATAGGTGATCTGAAAATAAAATATTCGTGTTTAATAATTAATTATATTTATTTAAAACAATATTGAAAAATAAGTGGTTTAAGATCAGTAAAGTGTTTAAGAAAAAGGTCTTAAATAGCTTACATTGTCAAATCAACATTTTGGGATTAATTTAATTATATTAAAATTGTATAAAACCAATTTTGTCTAAAAAAAGCAGGAGTACCAAACATTCCCTCAGAAGCTCCGCATCCGGACAACATAAAAAACACAACTACATTCATAATGAAGACCAAGTTAATTAATCTTTTGTGATTTATTACCTGCATATAATATTAATGTATTTTAAGAAAAAATGTGAACCTTTACATTATAATTGATGCAGCCAATGGCCTTAGATGCCAAGGCTTTAATAAATGAAAAAAAGGAGAGTAAGTGGATGTCGCTCTGCTATACAGTAGGTAACAAGTGGGTCACTTGGTATAATGGATGGTATTAAATTTGAATTCAATGATATAATATCATTGTATACAAAAATGATTCTGAGCAGTGACGTTTTGTCAGTGTGGATATTTTATATTGTTATTACTTCTTATTACTACGGTAGCTGGTAAGATGAATTAGTATTATAAAATGACTACAAAATAACTAAAATCATTATTCTCCTTCAAATTTGAACATAAAATAACTATAAAATAAAAATGGATTTTATATTTTTGAGATTTTTTGAATTACCTACTTTTGCGGAACTTTATTGTAAATTTTACAATGATGTGTGTTTTTTTTATTTTTGTGTGTGCACAAGATAAGTAGTCGAAATAATGCTTTGATTTTGAACTTCTTTTTTTGAAAATGTTATCGTGCATATAAAATGCTAACATAAATGTTTAATGAATATTTCATGTATCATAAATTGCCAAAAACCAAAATCAATTGTGTCAAAAACCAATTTTGCCTAAAAATTCCTGGTTTTCTTAATTTTTAGGTTGTTTTTTTGAAAACTATTGGGAATTTGAAATTTTGACCAACTAGATTCTCTTTCTGATCAAACAAGGTACTGTTGAAGAAAATCGAAGCAGTTTTACTGTCCCAAATGGTGGCAAACGACACAAAAATTAAAAATATTAATAAATACACATCATTATAAAGTAAATACATTCATCGCTCCGCTCAGAATCTAAAATGTATAAAAACTTTCTAGTTTTCTTTAAACAGTTTCTTTCGTTCATATTTAACTTATTTATAAAAAAAAAACATAATAATATTATAGTGAAATTAAAAATATATAGAATATAATATTAGAAGATAGAATTAGTAGTTAGTACCTAATGGCAATAAGGATTTCACAGGTTGATAGAAACTAGATAGTTGGAAATATATTTGTACAATACAATGAGGGCATATATTGAGGGAACTTGAAGGGTTTTAGGCCTCCCCCAAAAATATTTTCAAACACCCATAACACTTATAAGTTATAAGTTTATAACCAGGGCTTTTCAATGGAATCATTTTTTCGGGTTTCGGGTTTAGGGTGTTGAAAGAAAATTTGGGTTATTGATTTCGGGTGTTAAGGGTTAATACACTTTTCTGGTTATGGTTAAATGCAAATTTATTCGGGTTAATTATAGTTAATTCGGGTGTTAAAAAAAAAAAATGTTGTATATCAATTAACATGAGATTTTCAATGCAAATATGATATAGTAATCTGATTTTATATTTAAAGTAAACATAATGAAAAAATAAATAAATAAATAAAAAATAAATTTAAATATTAATACTTATTAGTTATTACTTTATTACTTAGTACTTACTCAATCCTTTTTCTACAGAAGAAAGTTCTCGCTTATTACATATTTTAATTAAAAATATTAAAAGCTAAACGTATTTTAGTTATATTTATTTATGATTAAGAATGTTAGACAACACAATTACTATTGTCTATTATTGAATATTGTGAACTAAGCATCTAGGTCTTTTTTAGTATTTAATTTATTATTTTGATGGTTACAAAAAAAAAATCGAGTTATCCGTTACACACTTACACTACTATTTTCTTATCTTCTAAGTCACGTTAGTTGCAAAAAATACATACAAAATACTTAATTTATAGCCACTTAATTTTCAATTATTCAAGTTTCTGGTTATTTCGGGTATATTTTGGGTGTTAATTTTCTTCAATTCGTTTTGTATATACGGGTTTTGAATTATGATATTTATTTGGGTTAATTTGGGTTTCGGGTTACGTTCGGGTGCAAAGCCCTGTTTATGACATATAAAACTTGTAGTATTATGCAGTATATTTTTTTCTTGATACACCACCACCCCCTCACATCTTACACACGTTACCAAATAGATATCTGCTTATGCAATTATAATTGAGAAATAGAGTGCACAATGTCATATGTGTCATATAGAACAAATAATCTGAATAAAATATTATTATATTATTCTATAATTAGTATAAATCTATCGTACTTTGAAATAGGTGTATGATTGACAAATTGAACCTTCTAATTCAGTTAAGTCTTCTACTAAGGCTTCTAATAAACATGTTTGATAACCAAATACACCTGTAAAAATAGTAATGTTATTAATTAATATGTTAAATTAAATTTAAAATAAATAATAATACATTCAGTTATTTCTTTAATGTGATAACTGGTTAATAGAATCCACCTTTTATTGGAATCATATATTTTAACACCTAAACCAAATCATGTCTATTTAAAAACGAAAAAAAGGTTTATGGAATCAATCGAAATTACCAGTATCACAATGTCATATTAAATAAAATTGACTATATTTTAAATTATATATAACTACTAATAATTAATAAGAACATTGAATATTAATAATCATATACATTTTTGGCATCCCATCTAATTGAAAAAAATATTTAATGCTTAGTATATTCTCCAAAATTTTAAGTTATTAAAGTATTACTTTACTTTATTTTTAAAAAAGAAACACCACATTAAAACCAATAACCTCAATATGGTAAGATAAAATTGTAATCTAATTATTAAAAAGGTCAGTAAAATAACTAATTATACAAATCTAAAACGTTTTAATAAAAAATGTAACTATAATTAATAATTATGAAATACTTAACTTTATACAAGCAAGTCCGTAATAAAATCTCAATTGCTTGTATACTTAATTTTTGTTCTTTTGTGAGGCCTTCATAATCTAACACTTGATATATAGTATTAAAATCTAAAACATTATAACGTATTACACTTAATTGTACTTAGCTCATTGTATAATGAAATGTATCGAATAATATATTTTATTACCATTCAATTTACTTAAGTTATAAAGTTCACTCATAATAACTTTATTTGTTTCGTGATTCATTAGTTCATTTACTATTTTACCATCAACAAATTGCAATTGTTTATGAAATAATGAACACGCATTAACAAATGCTTCATTATTTAGTTGATTTACATCAGTTTTGAGTTCTAAAACTATATTATTCACTTTCTCCATGTATTTAAATTTATATAATCTGTGAAGACAAATCAAATCAACAATGCTTAGTAAATTTCATATATTCACAGGAAATTATAAAAATATTCATAATTATTAATCACCCAAATTCATTAAAATCATTATTAAATTGAGGAAATTGATTTTCAAGAAAACATAGTAAATTTGTCATGGAAAAAAACCATTGAAGTGTTACAATACTTGGTTTTTCCTTTAATGCTATACTTTTTTCTATGAAATTAATTAATCTCTCAAAAATATTTTCATCGATTGATTGTCTTAAGCCTGTTAACAAAAACAAATAATTTAATCTAATAAAATTATTATGTTAAACATTTTATACTTTTATTTTGTGCAGGCTCAGTGAATTGTAGTTGCAGATTTAGGGAATCTTGATGCGCCAAATTATAATGTGTATATATGAAATCATTAGAATTTATTGTTTTAAAATTATTGTGATTGACAAATGATTTTTTGATACTAGGTTTTGTCAATATTAAGTCAACTACTTCTGATAAAATATGGGGATTCAGTTTAGAGTAAGATTCAACTATTAAGCTATCTGGCATCATTAATGGTAACAGCCAATCGAGCAATAAAATCATGTTCTATAAATAACACCATTATTAGATAAATAAAAATACATAGTTGTAATTGATGATAACATTTTATACTTACGGTTTTATTTAAAGAAGCACTGCAAAATCCTCTTGTTTTAAATAAAATCACTAAAGTTTTCAAACTAGAATCATCAATCTTTACAATTTTATTAAAATATAATCTTAATACATCAGAATACATTTCATCTTGCCAATTTATTAATACAATTAATGAGTGCAAGAGATTATGAGATAAATTTGAATTCTCGTTTGATGATACAGTTCTAAAATAATAATAAAAAATAAGGGATACAATGTATTTTTTTTAAGTTTTAAAAATTATAAAAAAATAATTACTTTAACGCATATGTCCAAACAGTTTCAAAGAACGGTCCAATTTGATTCAATTTGCAAACATTCTCTGATTTAATTAACGTATCGCAACAACTAAATTATAAATTAATATAAATGGAAAATGAATTAGAAAATTAATATAGAGGCATTCGTCTGAAATAACTAATTATCAATAAACATACATAATCAAGTATTTTGTAGATTTTGTATCCTTATAAGAGTTTAAACATTTGGTTATACTTTCTAACAAATGTATGTAATCCTTTTCATGAAATGGTAATGAATGATTATTTTCTAGTAGTTTTGTAATTATATTAAGTCTAGAAAATTATAAGACATAGTATGATATTATATGTTTTACTTTATATTGAAAATAAGTTATAATCTTACCTGGTGCATATTTCTGATATTTTTAAGTTGGTAAGATCATCTACAAAGGATAATACATTAATATCGTATTTTTTTCGTTTTGGTGTAGGGCATCCATCTAAAACCAGATTCGATGAATCTAATTTACTAAAATATACCTAAATAACAATTTTCGTATTTAACAAATTCATTATTTGAGTAATAAATAATAACTTACTATATTAAAAATTGTTACAGCCAACTCTGAAATGTAATTCAAAAAATTGGGATTGGAATTATTTTTGATTTGTTGTATTTCACGGCGTACAAATTCATATATTTGATATAATTGAACAATCCACATGTTTTTGTTATAAGCATATGACTCTTTATGGTTGAAGTCAAGGCATTTTGGATGATGTATTTTTATGAACAAAGTTAGCAAATTATACAGTGTATCTTGAACCTAAATAATTTAGTTTTCTTAAAATTAAATAAGTTGGTACGTAATTAAGAAGACACTAACCTTTTTTGGCCTATCGTTTTCATAAAAATTTATCAAATGTGTGCAGTTTTCTTCGATAAACTGGCAAAGTGAATTACGACATTCTATCCATAGCTAATTAAATTTGAAAAATAAATAATTATTTGTATGTATTTTTAAATACATGAGATTTTCCATATCTGGTGTAAAATGTAGAATATATTTATTTTAAATTACATAATGTAAGCTATATAGATTGCATATCCCATGAGGTTGTAGAGAATGTTATGTACGCGGAATGACGGAAGAAACCAGCAAAATAAAGAAAGAATATGAAAAATATTTTACCACAGACCCGTTTAGCAAAGAAACAATTATGATAGGAGAAACGTTAACTAATCTTATGTAAAGATAGAAATGACAAATGGCATGAGCTTATAGATAACACATTTATGACAAAAAAAATGCAAAAAAGCATGGCGACTCCTCAAAAAGCTAAATAGAGATCCCTGTCACACATACGAACGACATAAATGTAACAGTAAATCAAGTAGCTACACAATTACTTCTAAACGGAAAATTATGCAAATCGGGAATTTTATTATAAATAAGAAAGAAAAACTCATCAGATGACGAGACAATGACCAAAATAGTTTGCAGCTTGATTTTACTATTTCTGAATTAAATAAAGGCCTCAAAGAGATGAAAAACGGCAAAGCACCAGGGCTCGATGAAATCATGACAGAACAGATAAAACAATTCGGCACAAAAACAAAACAATGGCTGTTAAATTGCTTGAACTAATAACTAACAAGGTCTTGGTACCTAAAACATGGAGAAAAGCAAAGGTAGTGGGCTTGCCCAAACCAGGCAAAGACTACAAGGAACCTAAAAGCTACAGACCTATATCTCTACTCTGCCATACATTTAAACTGTATGAACGAATGATTATGAACTGTATAAAAGAACAAGTCGAAAGAAAACTTATCCTTGAGCAAGCTGGTTTTAGGCTAGGTAAAAACTGTACAGGATCTGTGCCAACATATAGAGGACGGCTACAAGAACAAAAAATGTACAGGGGTGGTTTTTGTAGACCTATCTGCAGCGTACGATACGGTGAACCATAATCTCCTACTTAAAAAGATATACGAATGCACAAATGACTGGCACCTTGTCCGAATAATATCTTCTATGTTACACAACCGGCGTTTTACAGTAACGCTAAATAACAAATGGAGCGATGGAGAAACCAGCGAAATGGCTTACCCCAAGGTAGTGTATTAGCGCCTATGTTATTTAACATATACACCAACGATCAACCCATCATTGAAGAAACAAAACATTTCTTATATGCAGACGACTTGGCACTAGCAGCGCAGGACACAACCTTCCAAATAGTCAAACGTAAACTTACCAGATCACTTCAAGAATTAACAAATTATTACATAAATAACCAACTAAAACCCAATCCAGATAAGGCACGGGGATGCAGCTTCCACCTCTGAAACCACGAGGCAAAAAAAGGACTAAAAGTTGAATGTGTTGGGAAACCATTGGGAAATACAGAACGCCTAGTTTACCTAGGGATCACACTGTACAGAACTCTCACGTTCAAAGAGCAGTGTAAGAAAACTAAAATTAAAGTTGAAGCAAGAAACAACCTTATACGGAAACTAGCATGTAGCAAGTGGGGTGCAACTACAAACACGATCCGTACTACTGGACTAGCACTTTGTTTCTCCGCTGGTGAGTATGCTAGCCCAGTATGGAACCAATCTAAACATACAGAACATGTTGACACGGCTATTAATGAGACCTGCAGGGTAATAACCGGATGCCTTAAACCAACGCCACTTAAATATATATATATATCCATTAGAGGGGATGGCACCACCAAGAATACGAAGATATGTGGCCACATGCATGGAGAGAACAAAAAAAAACAATGGACCAAAGACACCCCATGTATGGTTACTCGGGAGTCAGGACCACAAAGGAGACTTAAATCTCAAAGAAGCTTTATTGCCAATTCGACCACGATCCAAGATTCACCGGAACAACACAGAATACGAAAATGCAGAGAAGAGCTACAATGTGAAAAACCTGTCGATTTTACCTGAGAATTTACCATGCGGAGGAAACCAACCATGGATTATATGGAAGACATTAAAAAGGCTAAAACAAAAGCAAACATGATGAAATGGGGATACCAGAAATAACCAGACATACTATGCAAATGTGGCGAAGACAAATCAGATGACCACTTATTACAGTGCACACTAGCTCCGCCAAGATGCAAGGCCTACGACTTGACTGTAGCCAACGAAAAAGCAATAGCAATGGCCACTCACTGGCTAAAACAAAATATTTAAACATTTATTTTATATTACTTTATGTAGGCATTTATTTATTAATGTAATACGATATAGCTTCAGCACCGGACACAATAAGAAGAAGAAGAAGAATAATAAGAAGAAGCTAGGTATATAGAGGTAAAGTAATTTAATATAAACTTATTTTCACAAGTACAACAAACTTCCAAATATTTTAAATGCCCTATTTGTCAATTAAACACAACCAAGGTTATAGGCTTAAAGCCATGGGAATAGGTAAATTTATAATTATCCAGTTAATGGAGTTTTTAGAATATTATGAAAAAAATACAATTTGCGTCTTATAGATTTTCAAATTGTATGTGATAAAATATTTTACAGTAGGTTTTTTTACAGTATTTTTGCAATCCTACAAATTGTAAAAAACTATATGTTATGTTTCTATATTTTTTTGCTTTTTCAATTTAGATATTTAAATCTTTAACATACTTTTAATATTTCATTCAAAATAGTCTGTTAGGAATATTATGTATTAAACATTAAGGAAAAAATAGTCATAATAGTATTATATTATTGCATACCTAGTATATAAATATTATATATGTATTGGTTAGAAGTACAAGATTAAATAATATTTAAGTATTTAGTTATTCTTATTAACATTGAAAAGATAAACTTACCGTTTTACAAACCCCAAATACAAGTGCAATTAAATCTTCTCTTAAAGAAAAGTCATTGTTCTTTTTCAGTGTATCCATTATTGCTTGTTTTAAGTATGAAAATATTCTATAATACAATTATACATACATATTATAATTTCATGTTTTATAAGTTAAATTCAAGTTTATTATATTTATAATTTAGTAAATATTGTCATTAACCTCACTTAACCTAACCTAACCTAACCTTGTACAATCATTACGAAAAGCGTTAACTTTTCTCATTATTTACTTTCTGGAATTAACATTTTATATTGCCTAGGTATTTGCATGTATTTTTTTCACTCTTATGTTTGTTGGTTAATCCACTATTAACTTTTAGAACGGGCAAGTTATAATTTTAGTTTCATGAACTAATTAAAATACTTTCCTAAAATCGTTGAAGAATATTAAATATATCAAACATTGAAAGAATAGTTTCTTTTTGCATTAATAAGAATTTGATTAGGCTATTCAAAAATCAAGTGGAAAATAGGTTTCAAGAAACATAATAAATATAAAATGGTAGAATTGCACATAACTCAAATTTTTCACACAGAACATTTACAAAAAAAAGTTAATACTTTTCATAATAATGAATAGCATAACATGTAATATGTTATGCTATTCATAACATATTCAGATAATGAATAACTAAATATTCATAAAAACACATAAAAAAAAAAAATGTCTTAAAAATAAAATAATATTGTTAATTTAAGTTTACAAGATACTTCTTTTAAGTATAACATTGCTGAACAGTGAGTTCACAAAAATGTAAATACATAAAAGTAATTTACAAACATTACATTTGATTTCAACCGAAACATTGAAACTATTAGACACATGGATAATATTTTTTTAAAAGTGTTCTCAATTTTTGATACATACAATTTTTATGAATATCTATAGAAAGTGTGTATACATAATTATTCTAGATATTTACTTTTTTTTAACCACTAATGACACTCTAGAATGGGCATCACCTCTGACAACTACGTGTTTCATGATTTTTATTGAAACGTGTCTCATATTTGCAAAATTCTCATTGTATAAATTGTAAGCCAATGAAAACAAATCTAAAATACATACATTAATGATTGGTTGTATTTATAAAAAAATATATACTTGCCATTCCAATAACTGCTTAATGAATGCCAATAATAACTCTGAGATAAAATACTTTGTTCTAATATTTTGTAGTATACTTCTCCCATGTACAATTGGAAAGTTTTATTTTGTGAAACATCAAGAATACATTTTAAAAAATCATTTAAAGGTAGATAAGGTTGATCTAAAAATATAGAAATTATTTATTAGACAAGTTATAGATTCTGATTATAGAAGATTTTATTAGATTTACAATTTATTTTTGTAATTGCTATACGGAAGAATGTAATTTATTTAAAAAAATGTTTCCATATAATTAATTGATTCTAGCGCTATATTTTAGATTCTGAGTGGAATGTGAATGTATTGATTTTACAATGATGTGTGATTTTTTTTGTGTCTGTCATCACCTTTTTGGACAGTAAAAGTGCTTGGATTTTCTTCAACAGTATCTTTTCTGATAGGAAAATGAATCTATTTGGTACTTTAAGGGTTCAAAAGTAAAAATTTCCAAGTTGTTTTCAAAAGCGCCATGAAAAACCAAAAAAAAATTAGGGAAAAACGGAAATTTTTACACAAAATCTATTTTCGAGAAAATCGATTTTGGTTTTTGGTGTAACTCTTAAACAAATGACTATAGGTACATGACATTTTGACTGAATGTTTATGTTAGCATTTTCTATACACCATAACATTTTCCAAATATTTTGAATTATTTTGAGATTTTAACAGACATTTTCAGTTTAGATTCTTTTTAGTTTTTCTTCTAAAAATATCAATAAAATGTTATCTGTTGGTTAAAAAAGCTTGAAATTTAATAGAAGACTCCTAGTATATTGTTTCAATAGAAGATGAGAAATATTAAAAAACCTTAGCCAACGTTTTTTTTTATAAGCATTTAAAGTTAAAGCATTTAAAAATTGACAAAATATGGAAAAATCACGAAAATTAGCAAATTATTTTGAGTTCAGAATTCGTAAAAATTTTTCTTTTCAAATCTAAGGTTATAAAATGTAGTACAAGATTTCTTGTAAGATTATCTACCTTTGTCAAAAAAAAAAAAAAAAGACTAAAAAAGTCAAATTAATTTTTTATGAGCGTTTGAAATTCAAATTTTTACAACATTGGATATTCACTCGATTTCTCATGTAGCGATTTCCTTATTTTGTTGTAATTCAAAAACAAATAACTGTAGATACATGAAAATTTCACTGAATATTTATATTATATTTCCTATACACATTACAATTTTGAAAATATTTTGACTCTTTTTGAGCTGTTTATGGACATTTTCAGTTTTAAATTTTTTTAGTTTTTTTTCTATAAATATCAATAAAGTTTTATCTGTTGGGCCAAAAAGTGTAAAAATTTAATACAAGGCTCCTGATATATTGTTACAATATCAGTTGAAAAATATTAAAAATACATAAACACAATTTTTTTTATAAACATTTAAAGATCGAATTTTGACAAAATTTATCAAATTTAAAATTGAATAGTTATTTTTTAGTTAAAAATTTATAAAATGTTCAACTTTTATATCTAAAGATTGAAAATTTAAAACAAGATTCCACGTAAGTAGTTAATTCTATTACCAAAAAATCTAACAATTTAGAAGCACAGTTTATTTATATAGTCAATTTAAGTTCAAATTTGGACGAAATTACATAATAAAAAACCCATAGAATAACTATTTTAATTATTTTGTTGTAATTGTATAATATTATTTGTGAAAACTTGAAACTTCTAAAGTACACTATTATATATCTATGATAGTATCAGGGTTTGTTGTTGATGTATAACGTGTTATAAGTACCTAATGGATATTGTAATATGATTAATTTGAAATATATTATAGGTACCTATTATAGGTCAATTTTTTTTTTAATACTATAGATATGTATATAATATGTTTTAAACCAAGACTGACATACCGTCTACGCTCAGAATTGATTTTCTTAAACAATGATATTATATCATTGAAATTAAATTTAATACCATCCATTATACAGTGACCCACTTGTAACCTACTGTACAGCAGAGCACCTTTTTTATTTTTTAATATTGAAAAATTTTAAATTTGATTTCAATATTTGTTGAAAATGTCAAAACAGGTAATTATAAAATCTTGGATTTTTGGAAGCATTTAACAGTAAAATCATTTATTTAGGTTCAAGGGGTTTATTTTTTTATTTTTTTATTGGAAAATTATTAACTTTTCAAAAAAAAATATTTTGATTTTAATAAAACATACCTATCTTAAATTTCTCATAAAATATTTAAATAAGTTTATAATTTTTGAATTTAAAATGTTTTTAGATCAACTTTACTAAGCAAAAATAAAGAGATTTCAAAAAATGAACTTCATTATCAGTACTAAAAAAAAAATATGTTATCCTATAAGTGTAACGTAAATGTTTGTAAATGTTATAGGCTAAAGTGCACTTTACCACCCCATGCATATTTTTCGATTTTTTTTTTTTTTTGAACTTATGTAACTCATCGAGTTAAGAACGATGGTGCAATCAGAATTTGTCGCTCTCACTTAGTTTCGAAGTTATGGCCCTTGGAAGTAAGCAATTTTGAGTTTTTTTATGCATGAGCGCAACGATACGTGTCACGTCTTTCGCAATTTTTTTTTCTTATTCGTGAGACTACTAAATAAAAAATAAACGAGTGAACAAAAACGGGACTAAGAGAGGTCAACTTCACTAGAACGCAGCACTTGCTTGTAAAATATTACACATTCTTCTTCGATGGTTTTAACTTAAACATTTTATTGTTGTAGAGTGTTTGATTTGAAATATATGGTGGAGCATGAGTAAGTTGACGTAGAGTAATATTCCGGTAGGTTCTGATTTTAGCGGAACGATTTTTACAGACGAGCCGGTCTGCGGTCATCTCATAGATTAAGATAAGTATAATATAGATATATAAAAATTTTTATTGGTCACCTACTCATGTATTTTATAAGTTATCTACTTATCTATGATCGTGATAGTTTCCCAACTTTTTATTTTCTAAAATAACCTCACTAAACGAAAACCTAAAGATTTTAAGGTTAATTTATTGTTTACAATTTAATATTATCATTTCTCAACTTATCAGTTATGAGTTATCACAAATTTTTTTTAGAAACACTCAAACACCTTCCAGACTGGCAGAGTGGCAGACTATAAGATTTTTCTTACTTTTCTATGAGTTTACCATTTCAGTCCGTGAAGAACTAACTAATAAAAGTTTTACTTTTTAATTCAATTATAAATGGCAATATTCATTATTTAATTATATTCCAATAGTACAATTTATTATCTAATTAGTATCTAATTTAATAAAAAATTTAAAAAAATGAAGACAATTAATAATATGATTAAGTTAAAAAACTTCTATAGCAGAATGCATTCAACAACACAAGTGAAATGGGATATCATGGCTGGTTTATGTCTACAACGTAAACCAATTATAACAAAACCATTAACTGATACAGAGGTAAATTTTCAAAATATTTTACAAGAAATTGAATTTGAAAAGAGTCTGAAATCAGATCACGAACTTAGACATGAAAAAGATGTTAAAAGAATGGAAAAATTGAAAAATGGTAAGGTTATTGATTTTGATGATATGGATCAGGCATCAAATCAAACGGCACAAGACTATATAGATAAGAACAAAGAAGAACTTTTAAATTTTAAATTTGCTAGTCGTACAACTGAGGCAGACACAATAAATGATACTAAATCGTTAAAACGAAAATTGGACGACAATTTGGTTTTAATTGTTAAAGAAAAATTGGGCCATGAAGACTATTGGGTCTTACCACAAGGTTTGTGGAAAGATGGAGAAACATTAAGAGAAACATCAGAAAGAATATTAAAAGAATCATGTGGAAATAATATTAATGTTAGATTTTATGGCAACGCTCCATGTGGATTTTATAAGTATAAGTATCCAAAACAAAAACGAGAACAATCTAATGTAGAAGGGGCCAAAATATTTTTTTTCAAAGCAAAACTTTTGGATGGAAATGTAGAAGAAAAGGGCACATGGACAGATTATGAATGGTCAACTGTTCAGGAACTCAACAAGAGACTTATTCAACCATACATGAAAAATGTTAAATTATTTTTGTCAAATTATAATGTAAACACATAAATAATATATGATTTTTACCTTTGTTAGCTTTATTGATAATATTTCTCAGCAAAATAGAACAGTTTTCAAAATTTGGTTGTTTGTAATTAATACCTGATTTTTGCTTCTTTTTGTCTTCATTATCAACATCCTGGCAAAGAAAAAATGATAATTAAATGAATATAATGGTTTTTTTTATAATAGTTTAAATTACCATTTTACTATTTACTAATTACTAACCAGTATTAAACTTCTATGATAATATTTAAGAAGACTAATCCACGTCACATGACCATTACCATCAATACTTTGAGATTGATTTAACTGTTGCAGACCACTGTTAATATTCAAAACTTCAACGACTTCATCATTCTCCAAAAGCTGTTGAATTTCTTGTCTTTTTATCTATAAATATAATTTTTTATAAGATGTTAAACAGTGCTAAGAATATACTAGTAATACTATGTGCTTATTCGTTAATTAATAGCAACCTGTACATATATTGCTGTAATGAAAATAGTATAATTGATAATAGATAGTACATAGGCATGCACACTGCACAGACTTCAATTTCTGGTCGAGGCTGTGAAATTATAGGGTCCTAATATTTTGACAGCTCCCATAATTTTTTTTTAACCCATCAACATACATGTTAGATATACATTAAATAGACAAGCATATTTTACCATGTCCCTAAAAAGTTTCAGGTCGATCCTGGGCTTGACCGGCTAGCCCCGTGAGCACGCCTATGAGGTAGTAACTTATACATTAAATAAATTTACATTTTATTATTCCTAAAATACACAGTTGACACTTGACATACATTACATTAAGACTGTTATAAAAAATATTTCAATATCATTCATGCCCAAATGCATAGTCAAGTATGTCTGTCCCATAAGTCATGTTAATTGTTAAACTATACCTTATGTGACACATAAATATTACATTTACTGCATAAGAACATCAGTAATGTATATTATATTTTACACTGAACCTAATTGTACCTATAGAGTACAGTTGCTACAAGTACTAAATTATAAGTCACTATACACAAGAAAAAATATTATTAAAAATTAAAATTATCATGTAGGTATAGGGGCTTAAATTAGGTAGTGGGTTGGGGAAAGGAGGCTTTCTACTTCTAAAACTAATAAAAAGTACTCCAAAAATAAAAGATATCAGTTAGGTTCTTATTATTATTTAATTTTGTATTTTTAATATTAGTATAAGTATTATTAGGTATGACAATTGAATTTGAATTATATTTATATACCTATACATTTAATTATTTGTACATTTATTGATTTTCATTATATATTATTGATTAATGTATTTACTTTTAATTTTAATGAGCGATTTTAATAAACATAATATTAAATAAAAAATAAAACTTTAAGTAGTAAATGTAGAAGGTTACCCTACTCATTGTTAAATATCAAACTCTAAACATCTTATTATGAACAATGATACGTAATACATTTGCTAACATCTTCAACGATTATTATATTAAATATGGATTGTTTAGCCATGCATTCAATTAAACGGTAGAACTCTAACAAATACTTATAATACATAAGTTTTATAATTATATATGTTATGTCATTACCTTTCTTTCTGTGATTTTAGGTGAGTCTAAACTTTGCAAACAATTATTTAAATCGCTGTTCAAATTACGTTTTTTATTGTTATCCATTTCATAGAAAATAATCGTCGAATTACGATTTCGAATTAAATCACAAAAACTAAAATATAATCCAAAAAAAACATAGAAACAAAATACGAATATTCAATGACATTATAATTTATAATTGGTACATAGTATGATGTTCATAATATACGGAATACGGATTCTATAAAATCCAATAAAATATATTAAAAAAACAAACGAGTAACGACAAAGAATTTTCGAGGATTTCTATGAAGTAAGAGAACCAGAGAACTGAGAAATAAATATAATAACTAATAAGATATCAGTGAACCGGTTATCAAAATTTAATTCTGGCGGCAGTTTTCTTTTTCAATAGTTTCAACCACGGTCAGACGGTCTTAACCTAACCATGGTTTTAACAGATTGGAAACGACATGATTGGTGGGGGTACGGCTTAGAGTAACTCTTTGGAGTACGGCCACCCAACTCCCCAAGTCCAAAAGGTTCTCCAAACTGGGGATCCAATGTTTTCAGCCGTCGTTCTCTGATTTTCAGCGCTACCGGTGGTTTTATTTGGCTTCACCATAGATAATAGAAGAGTACACTTATGGACGTATGCCCTTAGTCCTTAGATTGCTTAGAATTTAGATCATATGTTCTAAACTTATGCCTTAGAAGTTAGAACATTAATGTTTCATGCTTATGCACTTGTATAAATCACAGATTTCAATATAATAGTACATAGAAGTCTGTGCTGTTAATGCGTGATCGTACAATCTATAAAATTCAAAGAGGGTCGTTGTTCAAATTCAAATTAATATATTTCAAAAAAACGCAAAAGCATGAATAATGCCTATACTACGCTGGTTAAAGGAGCAATCCTAGCGTACGCAGCGTAGCCTGTGGCCGATTAATAGTGCGACTCCGTAGACATATTAATAAAATGGTACTCATTTGACATTTCTAAATATTAAATATCGGAGGCCGGAGCAGATAGGTTACTGATCCGCAATCCAGGACCAAAATTCATGTGCTCAAACTTTGAAACAACGTAAATAAATAATTAAAATAATAATATATTTAGCCACGAACTAGCTGCTTAAATCATGATCCGATTATCCAACTGTCTATACCAGTGGTTTTCAAGCTGTGTGCCGTGGTCTTTCGGAAAGTTCAATTATTCGTCCAAGAATAAAATTATAAAAATATAATTAATACAAATTTGTTAGCCCGTCGAGCACACATTTCTAGTTAAATGTACTTATATAATATTATAATTCAAAGCAATTTAGTTCATCTAATAATTAAGTGCAAAAAAAAAGAAGGTCTGTGTGCCGTGGACATTTAATCTTTTTTCTATGAGCACCAATAAAAGTTTGAAAACCACTGGTCTATACCACAGAATAGTGAGAATTTGTATTTAGTTTGTCATAAATAATTAGCATCAAAATTCAAAACATAATCATATTATCATTTTCGCTTATCCGTATACCGTTTATTTACTTTTCTGAAGTCCGTGATTATTAACTATTAAGTTTTACTGATTAGAATCCATAATCCATATAATTTTCGAATTTTTAAAATTTAAAATTTAATAAATGCGTTTAGCATAGATTATAGACCTAGGTATAGGTATTGTTCAGTCTAGTTTAAAGTTCTGTTGTTTTTAGTTGATTATTGGACCTTGGACTTTGAGTAATAACAATCTTAATTTTGATGTAAAAAAATCCTGTTGTTGAAGAAGAAGAATAATATTATTTGTTACCTATTTTCGATTAAACAAAATGGACTCAGTTGAAAATAAAGGTAAGATTTATTTAAAAAATGTATTTATGTTAAAATATTGACGACATCGATTTGTCTAACTATTATGTATCAAACACCAGGAGATAATGGAAATGGAGAGACTTCAATGGTTAAAAAAGTAGAAGGTACTGAAGGTGTGGACGAAAATGGAGTAAAATATATAATATATGAAGAAAGTAGTGTGGAAATTACCGAAAATGCTGAAGTAAATATTATTTTTATTTATTGATTCAGATTAAAAAACTTAATAGATACAATAGGTGTTAAAATGTTTTATGATAAACCAAAATTTGGTTGTTATGTAGGTAGATTATTCCTTTATTCAGCGTAATATAAAAACTATGTTATGTAGCTATAATTTGTAAATATTTTTTTGTCAGAATTTGAACGAGCTATTTTTTGTAACAATAATAATCTTATCTTTAATTTTACATTCAAATAACGTTGAAAATATTCATATAAATCTTAAGAGGATGCTACTCCCAAATTTTGTATCATATAGGGAAATGTTTATTAATTTATTAGTTTTAAGAAGACGTCTACATGGTCTGTCTCTGCCTTACAAATGCATAGGTGTAAATGTGCAATAAGTGTTTGAGATTTGGGAGGCTGATGATTTTTATGCAGAAATGACAATTTTTCATATACTTATTTATATGAAGAGTAATATCTTCAGGTTTGTTGTGGGGGTAGGGCTTAGCCCCCTCAGGCGTTTGCTATTTGTGCCTATGTACAATTGTACAATGTATAACAGAAAAATGATTTTGATTGGAGACGGTTTGTCATCCACATCCTTTATCAAGAATATTTCATTAATTGTTTTTTTATATTGTTATTATGCTATTATTAGAAGTAACTTATTTACCTATTGGTATTACAGTAGCAACCTACTATTTATATTTTTGCTGTAAACATTGCATTTATAATGTTAAGCATTAATATGTAATTATTATAATAGTGTGTAGGTTCAGTTAACTATAGGTAATTTGTTAATACCACCAGCATCTATTTTGGTATGTTTGGATTTTCTTTATATTTGATGGTTTGGCGCCACCCCAAAGTTGGATATGACCATATTGGTTTTAATATGAGTACCTATATATAGGAGGATTTTGTTGTTCAGAGCAATCTGCTCAGTGGCAACATTTAAGTTTTTTTGAGATGCTTAAATATATTACCTATTAGCTACTATATGAAGACCCAAAACTAGCCCATTACTGCCCCCCCCCTCTAAATGACTACACTGAATCTGCTTGGTATGGATCCCTAGTTTTTCAACAGTCCATGTTAAGACCTAGCTGTAGCGAATATTTTATATGGCTGGGATGGGTAGGTTAATGAGAATTATGGTGGGGCAGTTCCTCAGTCTCAGCATGAAAGTGCAATAAGCTGATTTTTACTCATATTAGATATTTAATTTTTTTAGTGTCATAATTTTAATATGCTATTAAAAAAAGTAACAAACTTTAAACATTTTAACTTTAAAAATTATAATTATTTACCTGTATAGTTATCTAAAAAAAAAAATATCTTTAAATATTTTAGTAAATTATTAAGTGCTTGATGTTATAAAAATCACTATATAATAGACGATTAGGAATACTTACAGGGCAATTAGAAAATATTAATATTTTTTTTGTAAACTAACCTTTTACAGTTTTGTGATCTGTATGAACCTATTATACTCTACAGGGTGATATTTTTATCATTGAACACTCATTATTTCAAAAAGTATTAATGTTTAAGAAAATATTTTTTTTACATAGTTTCAAGTTGTTAAAAAACAATATTTTTATTAAAAAATTATATTTTTAAATATTTTTTATCCTTTTAATTTTTTAAGTTTTTTACTTTTTTGAATGACAACATGTAATTTTAATTTGATATTCAAAAACAGAATATTTTTCTGAGTATTTCGATACATAAAAATTGAATTTAGGGCAATTAGTTTATGAGTTATAAGTATTTAAAGTTTAGATGAGCGGAGTAGTGGACAAACATTTCGCGGGGTAACCCCGTACCACTCTACTCCGCTTATCTAAACTTTAAATACTTATAACTCATAAACTAATTGCCCTAAATTCAATTTTTATGTATCGAAATACTCAGAAAAATATTCTGTTTTTGAATATCAAATTAAAATTACATGTTGTCATTCAAAAAAGTAAAAAACTTAAAAAATTAAAAGGATAAAAAATATTTAAAAATATAATTTTTTAATAAAAATATTGTTTTTTAACAACTTGAAACTATGTAAAAAAATATTTTCTTAAACATTAATACTTTTTGAAATAATGAGTGTTCAATGATAAAAGAATCACCCTGTATACAGAAGAAGTTTACAATGACACAGACTGATTGTGGAATCACACGCACATTTAGGACTGTGTTTATGCTTTGCGCACTTTCAACCATTTGACACTATTCTTCACATAATTGAAGTGTAAGCAAGCAGGTAGTCTTAATCTGAATAGAGTATAAATAGGTCTCGAAAATACATAAATTTTTTATTTTTTTAATAGTTTATTTAATTTTCCTGCAATTAATTTTCTAATATTCTCAACTCATTGTATAACTTATGTGTTCTTTTTCAGGAGTTAGATTTAAATCATCAAAGACTGGATAAAATTGAAAACTTTGAACACATGCTAAACCTTCGTTCTTTATGTCTTCGTTGGAACCATATAAAGGCAATTGAAAACATTCAAATGCTTGTTTCGCTTAATGAACTTGATTTATATGATAATCAAATAACTAAAATTGAAAATCTGTCCAGTCTTATAAACTTAAAGTAAAATAATTTAATTATGCATTGTATAAACCTAATTATAATATAAATTTATATATTGTAATTTTAGAGTTCTTGATTTATCGTTTAACCGTATAAAAGAAATTGAAGGTCTTGAACATTTGATCAATTTAGAAAAATTGTATTTATCCAGTAATCGAATAACTAAAATTACAAATGTTAATCATTTGTTAAATCTACAAATGTTAGAATTGGGAGATAACAAAATTAAGGTACGTCTATAATTTTCAAAAAAATTAATTCTGTTATAAATATTGCTTATTATTATTATAATTTAATCTATCTTTCTTGGTATGCTTTGTAGTTTCTATTTATTTACCTTTGTGCTATATAAAATCATATTATTATTTTGTAAATTATGAGTTAACATTATCTCTAAACAATTTTAAATAATTTCAAGATACTAAGTAACTAACATTTTCAAATTATATATTTACATGCCTTATATTACATTATAAGCAGGGTTCGATACTTAATGCTTTTGATGATTGTTTTAACTTGATATAAAATCTAGCAATATTATGGAAATCTAAAATTTATGTTACGTTGCTAGGATTTCAAATGTGAAATTAGAGTGCTTTTTTTTTTATTATTTTGGTGAATTTTACTAGTTAGTTTTTCTACTTTTATGTATTCTAATTTAATGCAATGCTATGCAATGGTAGTTACTGACAAATTAAAGATAATTTAGTTTTGTAGACTAAGAAAAATATACTCGGCACAGACACAAATACCCAGTATTATATAATATTAGAGGAAATAAAATGGATGTTTTTGAGAAGAATTTTTTTTTTTTTCTTTGTTTAAAGGTGTTATAATTTTTAAGATTGCTGTTTTTTATTTTCATGTTTTTAAATGCTTGTTTTAACAATGATTTTGATGATTTTAGATGCTTAAAGTTGTGAACCTTGGTTATTACTTATTAAACATATTTTATACTGTACCATTTTTTTTAGTGCCATATTAACTAAATAATTATTGATTTTTAACTTTTTTTTAGTTTGATTTTCAATGATAAAATTACTTTCTTCCTTCTTGGTATTTTAATTTAAATTTATATAATTTACAGACAATTGAAAATATTGAATGTCTCACTGGTCTTACAGAGCTATACTTTGGAAAAAATAAAGTTGATAAAATACAAAATTTAGACACATTGATTAACTTAAAAATATTAAGCTTACAAAATAATAGTTTGACCAAAATTGAAAATCTTAACAAGTTGATATCACTGGATGAATTGTATCTATCTGAAAATGGTATTACAGTAATTGAGAATCTTGAAGATAATATTAATCTTGGAACTCTAGATTTGTCTATGAATAAAATTTCCAAAATTGAAAATATAACTCATTTACAAAAATTAAAAGAACTTTGGGTAAGAACAAAAAATCTTCAAAAATATAACATTTATTAATGAAATGTATTATGATTATTTGTTTAGATCAATGACAACCAAATAAATGATTGGAATAGTGTTCAAATTTTGGAAAATTTGAAGAAACTTGAAACAATATACTTGGAACATAATCCATTAATCAAAGACAGTGCTTATAGAAGGAAAATTAAATTAATTATGCCGTGGATTGCTCAAATTGATGCTTCATTGGCTCGATAAATTATCCAAGTTGTTTTAGAGGCTTATTTAAATGAATGAAACTCACTCATAGCATTATACAATGTTATTAATATTATAATTTTTTTTTTAGTGTTAACAATTAATTTGTATTGTGTCATAAAAAACATATATGATTGTGTAATGAAGTATTACTATGTAAGATGATAATACATTATATATAATTATATTATATTAAATAAAAATAAGATTTTCAAAACAAATATTAATCATTTAACTTAATTTTGACAACAGAATTTTCATCAATTGGATCAATAATTTGACCCATTTGAGTAACAACTGGGGGAGCAGTAAGTTTTTGAAAAACGGTCTCGGGTACCCATGTTCGTCCTACAGGTGCTTTGATTGTTTCTTCATATTCTTCAATACCTTTAAATGGATATGGCAATTCAGAAACCTATAAAAAAAACAATATAATATATATTACAAATAACAATTATCATACAATAAGGATTTACAATTATTTTTAATTTTTTAATTTTTCATATCTATATTTTTAAATTTAAAGTTCTATTATAGATTCTTAGCGGAGAAATAAATCAATAATTAATGTATTGATTTTACAATGTTTTTTTTTTTTTTTGTGTACGTCAGTACCTTCTGGAACAGTAAAAATGGTTCAGCTAAAAGAATGGTTTCTGGTAGTAAATTGAAATGAAATTTAGTTAGTACTTTGCGAGGTTAAAAGTAAAATATTCCCTGTATTTTTTAAAATAATCAGGGGGGAAAAAAGTGAGAAAAATTAGAATTTTTAAGTAATATAAATTTTATAAATTAAAAATAATAAATCCTAAAAATACAGTTACATCATTTTATAAACGTTACAAGTTGGCTTTCTAACAAATTACAAAGTTATTCAAAATCACAAAAATATGTAGTTTAAATTTGAAATTGTAAAAATAGTTTTCAATAGTTTTTATTAATGGAAATTAAAAAATTTAAGCATAAAGCCACATCATTTTTTTATGAATGAAGTTCAAATTTTGATGACATTTTCACATGTGAAATTACGATTTCTTCTGAATTATTGTTTTTGTTATTTTTTCAAAATATTAACTATAGAACCTTGAAACATTCCTATTATTACTTAAATTATAATTTTTCATACAGAATAAAATTTTCAAAATATTTAGACTTCAAATTATTTTAGTTCTTTCTTCAAATGTTGATAATACATTTTAGGTTTTAGAAACCTAAAGATATCATAAATGCAACTTCACCATGATCATAATTCATAGGCATTTCAAGTTCAAATTTAAACTAAATTGGATATTTAAATGAAAAGAAATGATTTTGTTATTCTGCTGTAATACTATAACTATTATTTGTAGACTTCAAGCTATTTTCCACTATGAATATTAATTGTTTACTGTACACAGTGCAATTTTCAAGGTATTTAGAAAAATTTCAACCAATTTATGCCAAGAAACTATTCATAATGGTCTAATGCCATTTTTATTTTTGGTGACATATTCAAAATTATTAGCAACCTTATGGTTGATAAATTCTGATCAACATGGATATTGACTTAAGTCAATAACAGCTAGTAACATTATTATAAATGTGATTTTTTTTTTTAAAACAAAAATGTATCCAATCTTTCCGTGTAACAATAAAAAAATTAGTAATACCAATATAAATATTAAATACATGATCAAAGATTTTTAGAAATACAGGGTGTAACAGAAAGATATGACATATACATATACTGGAAATGTTCCTAAACAGTTCAAAACAAATCAAAATGTTTTGAAAATTGTATCGTGTATAGAAAATGCAAATATAACTACCAGTGAAAATGTCATGTATATTCATTTGTTTTAGAGTTTAACCAAAGTTGATTTTGTCATTTCTTTCTGTATATGCTGCCAGACCATTTCCGCACAAAAATGTTTTCCATTATTCAACATTTATTGCTGAATTCAAATTTAACACATCCATTCTCAATGATTAAAGCCATGAAGACTAGTATAGAACTAGTAAAGACTAAAAGAACTAGTATAGTACTAGTAAAGACCAAACTCCGCTTCTGATCACGTCCCAAAATGATGCGCACAATTAAACGGCCACAGGCTGCGCTGAGTACGGGTTCATACTCTAACCCGTGTAGTATAGGGATTATTCATGTTTTTTTGCGATTTTTGGAAAATATATGCATTATTTTGACTCTCTTTAGATTTTAATCATGTACGATCACGCATTTATGCATGTGCATAAGTAATGGACATGTTATTCTTAAGAAACAAATTTGAGTGTAACGATACATATATCGGTGTAAAACGATCGTTCAAGAAAACACATGTGTTTTGTATCGAATAGTGTTGGAATCAGACTTGCTGTGAAAAAGATGTATAGGTATAAAATAACTATTTATAGTGTTAACCTTAGACCTATAAACTATTGGACAGTGCTTAGAGAGAGAAGTCGGGGGTACGATAAACTGATCGAAAAAAGAAACAAAGTAGTAAAATGTATACAGTTCCTTATGCGGTGCTCCTTCACTACCTTAAATTTTTTTTTTATTATATTATTAATATACCCACAACTATTAACTAGTTATAAAATACAAAATTAAAAAAAAAAACTTACTAAATGTGATTTAATAGAATCATCGGCACTCTCGTGAATAATAACTTTTTCTCGATTGAAGTCTTTACGTGGTGGTTTAGCGGGAGTTCTGAACATCCCCATGTTAGTTCTTTTCTTAAATGTTCGTTTCCTGATGTTAGGGCCAGCCCAACTGCCCCAACCTGGAAGTGCTGATTCTATTTTTGGCTTAGATTGCTCTTCCAGCTTTTTTTTTTCCTCCCTAAGTATAAGCCATTATATAAAAGATATATTAATGTAATATTAAGATTAAATAGTTAATACTTGAACTCATTAATGATATCATCATCAGCAAAAGCTTCTGCAATCAACTTTTCTTGTTCATTTTCTTCTTTATCATCCAAACGATCTTCTACTTGAGGCATTTCTTCGGTTTCCAAACTTATTTGAGTCACTTGTAAAAACTCTGTAGGGTCTATATTTTGTATTTGTTTTGTGGGTTTTTCAACAGTTTTAATAGCAGGTCCTAGGTTGTTTTCAATATTGCTTATATTATTTGTATCTAATGTTCTATTATTTTCATACAAAGGTTCATTAAATTCAGCTTTAATACGTTTATTATTCATTTTTAAGTAATCACTCTTTACTTCTTCATTTCGACGTTTAGCAATATCTGTTTTGGAAGGTTGTTTAACTTTAGTTTTGTTGAGTTTAAGCAATTTCTCATTAATTTTATTTTTCAATTCAGTTTCAACAGTTTTAAAAGCGTTTTCAACATCTTTGTGTACTTTTTTTTTGTTTAAAATATTATCATTAATATCATCTGGCGATACATGCCAAGGTCCAGAAACTGTATTGATTACATAAATATTATTATTCTTCTTATTGCACAATGCCGTAGAGTTAATTTTAATATTTGTATCAATTTCATTAATTTTAGTTTCTGACTTAATAGTATCATTGGAAAAATGAACTTTCTTTTTTTTAGGACAAACAATTTTTAGAGCTTCAACAAAACTTTCCTCCTCGTCAAATATAGAAAGATCTTGAACTGTAATATTTTTAATCTTCTTGTTCTTGTTCTTTTTAATTTTATCTACAGATATTGCTATTTTATCATGTTTTACCTCATTTACATTACTTTCTTCAGATTCTTTAGTTTCTTCATTTTTGTTATTTTTGTCATTTAATTTATTGTTTACATATTGATCATTCATGTCTTTTGTTTCACAATTATTTTGAACAAAATTATTATAACCAACCATAAAATCTTTGAATTCCTTTCGTTCGGCAAGCCAAGGATTATCAGGATCAACCACTTGTTCAGAAATTTCAATTTGTTCTTCATCAGAACTATCAGAATCATTTGTTTCGTTCAATGATGGTTGTACTTTTTGAGTTAACTCTTTACTTTTTCTTAACTGTTCTGCCAAAGCTATCCGGCTCTATAAAAAAACATATAAAATGGTAATTAATAAGTATTTAGAGCTTTAGGGTATATATTTTATGGTAATAATATAAAATGTACCAATCAACTTAAGTAATCTGAAAAATATTTTGAAAACATACAAAAATTGCCAAGAAGTCCTAGTTATATATTTATTATTCACTTTATTGGTATGTACAGGTATGTAGACTATGGCTGTCTCCCAAAATTAGGTCTACTTCTGTTTCGGGTAAATATAAGGATAGAATGCTGTTAAAATATTGTTTTATGATTTTAGATTCTGAGTGGAACAAATAACAATGAATGTATTGATTTTACAATGATGTGTTTTTTTATTTATTAATTTATTTTTTTTGTGTCTGTCATCACTTTTTAGGGCAGTAAAAATGCTTAGACTTTCTTCAACATTATCTTTCTGATAGGAAAGTGAATCTAGTTTATTCAATTCATATTCAATATGTGTATGTAATTAGATAAATTTGTACAAACTATAATTGTACTAATATTATGGTATGGTTAGGTAAGGTAGTAGGATTGCAGTTTATTTAATAAACAGTAGTACGTAATAGACACAACACAAGGGAGATAATCAAAATAATTTAGTGACCCTACTTTTGATCCGAAATTAAAATAAAAACCTGCAAAAGAGAATGAATAGATATCAGTTTTGAAAATTTTTATATTTTAATTCTAGGATATAAAATATTAAAAATGTAGTAGCTTAAACAACAAACATAGCTTGGAAACAAACCTAACATTTGTGTGGAATGATTATATTTTATAATATGTTAAATACAGTGGATTCCGCTTAATGTGGCCACTGGTTAATACGGGCATCCGCTTATTGTGGGCAAACATATATGGTCCCAATACAAATGTTTTGTTGTAACTAATTTCGGTTTTAATGGGCAACCGCTTAATGTGGTCTAACAGGGTTGTTCCCAATGTGCCCACATTAAGCGGAATCCACTGAATAAGAGTCTTCTAT